ACTATGTACTCATGTATCACAATCAGCAGGTCTGAAACTAACACTAGAAACATAGTGTTTAGATATATTGTAACTAAATTCAAATATTGAATTTGTTGAGTGTTGCAACACAGTACAGCGCAATCGGAGCCAATTCACAATGTACTACTTGCACACACACGTTGCACGTCCATTTTCAGCAAGAAGAGGAGTTCACAACAAAATAGATGATAACGACGGCTGGATTTAGTGACATGCGTCAAGTTACACATGCAGAGTGTGATATAAGGAGAATGCATATGTATGCAAACAGCTGTCAACCGTACAGTTGAGGTAAAACTGCGAACATGTGAGGTTATATGTGATATAAGCCTCCAACATACACTGGTCCCTGTTGAGCTTACATTAATGTATGAATTCTACCCAATTTAATATTTTAAATTGGGTAGAATTTAATATAAATATTTTCCCTAGAGGTGAAATAATACCTGTCACCTGAGCAGGCTGCAAAACTTTATCAGCTCAAATTAAAGCTTTAGTGGTGTAAATGACGCCAATACTGACACTACTGTACCACTCCCATATCTTAACAACCACAGGGGAACCGGTAATGATATAGTTGTGGAGATGGGCGAAATTAATGGGTGTGTTCAGCTGGTTCAGCTACAGAAGAGCTGCATCGTGACACTGACGTTGAGCAACAGTGCATTCTAGTGGCCAAAAGGAAAATCACTGGAAGTATTTAAAAAGTGTGCTTTGGTTCAAATATTTTTGTGGGGCATCAATACTAGTTTGAAAAGCTCTTTTTAATGATTCAATTCTGCAAATGATCTTGATGTGACCTGATGGCTTTTTCATTTCTGATGCTACAGATTTAGATGGGGAATAATCATGAGAGGAGGCCCAGATAACAACGCATGACCTAGCAATGTTTCACTAATCTTGCAAAGATTCAGCTTAAACCAAACACACAAAAACAACTGTGTAGTGTCAGGGGTGTGGCGGTATAATACAAGTGAAAAGAGACTACAAAAGAGATGAGACTTGGGGCTGTGTGGTTTAGAGGACATGAGTATATCATATCTGTTATGTATACAGTGTTTATAGCTCAGTCTATCCATGCAGAAAAAACAATCCCAAACTCTGAGGCAGAGGCACACACATACCTGCACACACACATGGTCGCTGCACACATTCACGAGAAAAAACTCAGCCATTCATGCCCACAACCCGTCTCACGCTATTCCATATCATGCACCTGTGCACACACATTCACATTCAATTACATGAATTCAGATGCACTCATGCAGGAGGGCACACACACAAACACCCAGCTGCATGCATACAGGTATTTTAGGTGTGCGTATGTGTGTGTGTGCATCCACATGTGAGAGGCTTATAAAAACAGTACATAAATCATGGAAACAATGGCAGCAGTCAATGGTGTGTGTGCATGTGTGTGTGTGTGGATGTGGATGCCTACAACGCTGCCAAACAGACCATGATGTCACTCTGCTGGCAAGAAACCTGTCACTAAAGATCTTTATTCTTTGAAGAATTATTTTTAGCAAAGCTAGAGACATGGCTCTAGGGAGGGCAATGTCGGCCTGTTGGTCGGTCCACCACTTTGATCCAGACCCAGATATCTCAACCACTATTTCCACAACATTCATGGCCCCCAGAGGAGGAATTCTACTTCATGGGTTATCCAGTGACTTTTCCTTTAGTGCCATTAGCAGGTTGACATTTTGGGGTTTGAGTGAAATGTTTGCAAATGTGCACGCTAAACTGACATGGTAAACACGATAAACACGATACCTGCTTAACATTAGCTTTTTAGCGTTGTCATTGTGAGCATGTTAGCTTGCTGAACACTGCACCCCAAGTACAACCTCACAGAGCCACCGGCCTGCTTGTACTTGTACATATTAACATTGACACGGACACTGCCCCAAGAACCCACTTTTTTTTTTCTCTGAACTTCTCTTCTCCTCACATAAAGTCATAATTGCCGTTGTATTGTCAGTTTACATTGCCTACAGTATGCTCGGTGAGAATTGCTGTTTCTGAATAAAGACGCTTTTTAGGAGAAAATGAGCCAGATGTGTGCATGTTGTTTCTCATTAGTGACATGCAGCTCACTCTTTTCCTTGTTAAAACAAATGCTCTGCGCTGACTTTGTGTATGACAGCTGGAGATGAGTAAAGTTAAGTGGAAAAATAAATCAAAAATAAATCAAAGCAATTGCCATCTTTTTTGTGATGATTTGTCTAATTCGTGTCTGGTATGTTCAAGGGAGGGGAAGGGGGAAGAGATATAGAGGCAGTTGGGGAATGTGGAGATAGTGTGTGTGTGTGTGTGTGTGTGTGTGTGTGTGTGTGTGTGTTGTGGGGGATGAGAAGAGAGAAAGAGAGAGTGAGTAAGAGAGAAAGAGAGAGAGTGCCTGTGTGTTCAGTCCAGCTGCACAGCAAATCTGTTTATTCTGCACAATTTGGCATCAAACACAACAGACTGCTGAGTGCCTGCTACTGCTTGTGGTGCCCCATTAAAATGGAATTCATTGCTGCCTTAAGAGCAAACCCAGATTACACATTTTTCCATTCTACGTTCTGTCCTCCTCCCTCTCCCACTCGTTCTCTCTCTGGTGATGGTAGTGGTGTGTTTTTTCCCCCACTTTAAGTAGCAGCTGTCAGACAAGCTCATTACAGACCAACACAGGAAAGTATGGTCGGCATGCTCACCTACCTGTCAACCTTCTCAACTGTCACCTGAGGGTGTGATGTGGTTGTAAGGTGTCATGAAGTAGGAAGACATCGTATGTTATGTGTCAGCACAGTTTAATGTCACATCTCTGTCGGTTGCATCCACACGACAGTGACTGAAACAACCACGTCCTTGTTTAAGATTTGGGACACGTAACCTCACCAACCTGACAACTTGTTACCCATTTAGCTCACAGTAATATGTAACCAGACTTTGAACTTACGCTGTAAAGAGAGCGTGAACTCGGGGGCCCACATCTCGCTCCATAAATCTCCTCAGCCAATGATAAATTCATATTTAATGACCATGGCCATCGTCTGGGAAGGAGGAGCATTCTTTCATTATTGCCTCTTTCCCCTGCTGCTTGGTCGAGATAATTGATTTCTCTGTGGTAACAAGGTATCGACCATGCATGGTAGCCAGCTAAGACGGCGGTTCGATTCAAAGGAGGGGTGGAGAGGGGAGGGGGGAAAAAAACAGAAGGAATAAGAGAAGAAGAGATAAAGTGAGAGAGCAAGAGCATTGAAAGCCAACAAGCCATACAATTATTTGCAGTTAAAAAAAACTCACTGGCTTTAGGTGGGTGTGGATTGGACAATGACTCGTCTTATTTTTCAGGGCTTTTATAGATCTAGTGCAGGACAGTTTGGTATTTTAGTGTTGTGTGTATAATTTACCAAAAGGAAAGCATATTGATCATACAATCTGTCACATAATTCCCTGAAAACTGTGTCAGAAACAAATCTGGAGGACCTCTTTTCAAGCACATGCTTCGCCTGCTAAGGAGGCAGTATATTGGTCCCGGTCCTTGTGTTTATGAATTTGCATTTATTCTCTAAACCTGACAAACTGCTCCTTCTCCCCTGCCCGTTTTGATGTGATTTCAAAAGCAAATCTGCATGATGCCTCGCTTAATCCGGCAGTAAATCTTCCAAAAATAGTAAGCAGATTCTACAACAGCACAGCGGGAACGTAGAAATGCCCCCCAGCAAGTGACAGAATATGCAAAACACTGCGTTTTATGTAGCAAATGTACATCAAACAAAAGAAATGAAAGAACTATTTGTTTACTGGTTAACATGGCTTTCTGCTTTAATAAATGTATTGATTAGATACATGATCAGGTGGATTTGACTGGCAGTTATTGAGTTGACATCTCTGAGGTGCTGACATTATTGACCCCCGACCTCCAGCAGGCAACGCTTGACACGTATGCACTGTATTTTCAATCAGTCAATAACTTAACCGAACCTTATGAATTGAACAATGTATTGATTGTATTCAGCATCCAGAGACGGCAATACGCCTGTTAGTTCCTTTGGCATCACTGCCTGCAGGTCATTCTATAAATAGAGGAATTAAATAGTGCTGCTGTTGTCGTGTGTTTACCAGCTTACATTGTAATTTATTTAAGAGCTCTTAATTGGACTAGTTACTCATTTGGCCCTCGTTGGTCCCACAGCAGAGTGGAGCTCCATCACTGCACACTGGGGCATGCTGGAATATGGAGCTACAGAGACTCACTGCACACAGCCAGCTGTTTGATGTCTGTAGCCGCAGAGCGTATGCTGCACCATACAGCATAAATAAACACACAATCCCCCCCCCATGAGGACAGATCGACACACAGGAGACCTTATTTCAGGCTGATGAACTATTAATGTTTATTTGAAATTCAAACATTTTCTGAGGGTCTTCTCTGCAATCGTTCATGGCTGTGTGTGTCTGTGTGTCTCTCCCCCAAACCGTTGGACTCCGATGTCAATGGGCCTCATGTGTTGTTGAAGCACCGTATTGAATGAGGCAATACAAAATGTATGTCAATGGGTTCAGCCTGGCTTAGCACTCTCCAAAGTAACTGTTAATGGAATAACTATACAATGTATAAATGGTCCCCACTTTAATTCATAATAATGTTGGACCTCATCGCCTGCCCACTCAGCCCAATAGATTATTGAAATAGCTGTAATGACTATTGGAACAATGAGCCAAATTACATTATCATTCAGTGCCACATCAGCCGTGCTTTGCTCCTTCACTGAAGATCTTGAATAACAACGGCCGACATCCAATTTCCACCAGAAAGATGAAGACGAGGAGGTTTCAGGCCGCGTGAAGTAGACATTAATAACACACTTATTGTTAATACGGTAACAATAATCCATTTCCAGGTGTAAGAGGGGTTTTTAGGTTCAATTACTGGTAACAAAAGCCACACATCATACGTGTATGCCTCACATGATTTCAGCAGGGGTCCTCACCCCACATGCCCAGCTCATGCATGAACAACACCCACCAAGACAAAAGAATTAGCCTTTGATGTTTTATTTTTAGCTCAACAATTGACTTTTGTGTGATCTTATTGGAGCAAAGACAAAGAAATGAAGGTTAACATTCAATCCAATCTTTGGTAACTACATCATTAGACAATAGATCCATATAATGAAATAAATGTACAACAATGTAAAAAAGCAGTGTAGTTATACTTGAGTCCCACAATCTCCGGCGATGCACATTTTCTTTTTAAACCGCCAAACAAAACATGGTTAGATTTGCTTTAATGACTAAATACTGATAATCAGCTGTTGTCAACATAAATATTTCTCCTCTAAATAACTAATACTCGTATCAGTAATGTCATCATCGCGCTAAAACTTGGAGCTTCTAAAAGCATGGCAGCAGAGAGAAAATGTCCTCAGAGGAAAAGGCACTTCTTGTGCATTGCTGGAGATGTAACTGTTATAATAAAATCTGTTTTATTCCTAGATTAAAGAAGCTCCAGGTTGTATTTTGTGACGACCACACAGAAAGCGTCTCAGACCTCTGGCTTGTGATGGAGATACATCTTCGCTGAACTGTCCTACATCGCAGCAATAACTTAGTGTTTCCAATGATCTGTTGATTGTAATGAGTGTCAGTAATACTCACTGGTTGTGTGCAGAACATGCAGTAGATTATCTTCATTAGTTATGGCTTGCCTATCAAAAGTGGTGCAACAGCAGCCTCTAGTGGCGTGCACTCCCAGGTAGACTCCCCATTGTTACATAGACGGTGCAAAAGGCAATATTGTTCCCATTCAGTATCAGGGTTTACATTGCAGGATTGTTGGTGTATAAATTGACATGATTCATATACATCATAGCGCACAATCAACAAATATAAAACAAAATGTTAAAACAAAATAAATGTGTCAGTTTCAGGACAATGATAAGGCAACCAATGCCAAGAGACAAAGAGACACTGGCCAATAATACAATTTCTTTCCTCTTTGTCAAATGCAGATGTGTATTTCACGCGTGGTCGAGCACCCCTGTCGCTGTGGTTACAACCACAGGTTCAAAGACAGACCAACACCTGTGGATGCAGAGCTTTTGAACACAAAGCAGAGCATATGATCCTTAAATAATTTTTGGATGGTTGCATGGTCAAAGCCTTCAAACCGCTTACAATCATACAGACGTCGCCACAGTTTTGGTCAATAATAAATCATTAGTAATCAAAGATATAAAAACAAACACTCAAGCAGTAATCTTTTCAAAGAAATCAGGTTAGAATGTCTTGTATAAAATTTTTTTTTTTAAAAACTCGGTAATAAAATTGTTACATGCTAAAATTGCACAGTAGTTTTCTCACACGATTATGTGTTACGAATATATCTTCAGTTATTGCAGTAAGCAACCCAGAAATACAATATGGGTGAATATTGAAGAGGAATATTTTCTCCTTCACCATTACTTCAGCTGTGGAGAGGCGAAGAAGTTTCCCTGGCGGTGAGAGGCGGCTGATGCTTTGCTCTTGCTCCCAAATCTAAGGATAGGGGTGTCGGGGGGGGGGGGGGGGGGGGTAAAAACAGGAATCCAATCTTTATATGTGGACAACTCGGTTTGCTTCATTTGACTGTTGATCATTGACTTAGCTCAACGCTTGAAATGTATGAGGAGCATTGATTGTGTATGTGACACGATGCTCAAATCTGCAAAACGTTGAAGCTGTATCAGAGTTGGATCTTGACCGAGGCTTCTGAACTGCTCTTCTAATAAGAGCCCAATGTTCAACCTGCATTTCCCCATGCAGAGTTAACGTTTGGGAGATTCTTTTACATTAAACCAGACCCCTGATATCTACTGTGCAGCTGTTTACACGAGACATTGGTGTATGCCTCAGCCAGGTGCACCTGCACCCGCTTAAAAGACTAAACGCCAGCAAACAAGGATTTACGCTGAATGTTTTGTTTGATAAAATTTGGCATTGATAAAAAAATAAATCTTGGATCACACGAGTCAGAAACAACCCTACTACTACCCTACACCACTGGATTCTAATGCTGAGGCACCGATAACCTATCCAACTGAGGAGTGTGTGCCTGTGTAACAAGCAGAGGAGTGAACCAGCCAATGGACCCTTTTAAACAGCAGGAAAATACTGCACCATTGACTTTAGACCTGATTTGTTTGTTGGTCAATGCTGAACCGCTTTCTGCTGCCTCAAGATAGCAACGCCCCAGTAATGCACCCGACCCCGCCTCATTCTGAGACCAACACGGCCATGGGTGCATGTACATTTGCTACTTCTACAATGAGGGCGCTGGGCGGGAAGATTACAACTGCATGGCTCTGAAACTAGCAATGCTATTTTCACTGCGCTGGATGCGAGGTAGAGCCCTGTTTGTGTGAGGTATGAGTGAGCTTACATCGTGGTGCTGGAGAGGGTCTGCTTCATGCGCTGAGACAGCGAGCTGGAGGAGGGTGTTTTGGCCATCATCTGGTGCTCTGGAGTGGTCAGTGGTCCCAATATGCTCACTACAGATACATTAGAGAAAAACACAAACAGTTGTTTATTTCAACTTAAGATGCTGAGTGAGCATTGAGCCAGTTTTAATCCTTAAAAAGGTGAAAAGGTTGGTGTTGATCTTTTATCTGTCATTTCATGTGCACTATTTACAAACCGGTCTTTAAAATAAAGTAGAACACATTGTCTCACTCTTAAATTATTAATTTTTAAGAAACTTTTACTCTTGGTAATCCCTTTCCAGTGATTCACCTTTGAAGTCTGGAGTTTCGGTGTGGTGAGCATTGTCCATGCCGGTATTATCTGGATAAGCAAACTGGCCCCAGTAGTTTGCTGGAATACTAAGCATGCGCTCTACAACCTAGAAAGAGAAAAAAAATGAACAGAAACACTGATGTTGACGTAAACAAAAGCACACACATCCATTTGTGTATCGTCATTCACTTTACCCGTGGTTGTCGGTTTGTGTCATGCAGGATGGTCATAGGGTCTGGGTCGGGAACAGCATGACCCACAAGAGTAGGGCCAAACACCCGGGCCAGGTTGTTCACATCCATCTTGGTATCCACACATTCAGAGACCCTGGAAGGAGGACAAGGGCAGAACATTTCAGTGTGAACTAAAGAGATGTAGGAGGTTGCAACAAGCTTGCTCACCCGTGACTAAAACCGTACACGTTTTGGATAAAAGTCCTTCAGGCTTACAAGTAGTTGCTACTGCGATCTAATGGGTGGAAGGCAGTGCCAAACAGATGGGAGTAAAAACAGGATAAAACAAAAGGGCTTCATAGAGCTACTGAAATATAACGACAATTACTTTTGCAGATGGATCATAAGGCAGGCCAGAGTGTCTCGGTTGGGTGGAGGCAGCTCACTGATGGTCTGATACAGCATGGCGAGACTGTTGCCATCATCCTGGATTTCTACAAAAACAACAACATTAAAACCAGTCATTTAATAGCTCTTTAATTCAACTAATGTAAATGCTTGTTCTTGAAAGAATAATGTTGCGTAAACAGACTGTTTCTAAGTCCTAAAGACTCACCAGCTGCTTCCATGAAAACCTTGTTGAGGTGGAAGGTCAGCAGTGGCTCTGGGAGGTTTCTGAGGAAGTCTTTGAGGACACCTGCAATGACGTTAATGTCATCCACTTTGTGGAGTGGCGGCAGAGTCTTTCCTCTAATCAGCTTCTCCTTCAGCTCTTTCACCATGCGCTCTTGGCCAGAGACTCTGTACAGGCCAACCTGGGGCGAAGAGAAAGATAAACAGCTCTCATTGTCTGACTGCTTGTCATACCGCACCGCTGAATGAGATAACCAATTACAAAGTACTATGTATTGTAACTGCCCAGGGGGAACGGCTCAGAGCATAACGTGAAGGTGACAAGTAAACAAGGACTTCAATAAAGTCTGTCTCACCTCATGTAGGCCTCTGTGTTCAATCTCCTTAATACAGTAGATAACCATCGCTGGGATCTTTGGGGAGGTGGCTGGAGCAAAGTCAGCCAAGGTGCTCTGCACACAAATTACATAGAATTAATCTAAACATTATCGTAATACAAATTAATGTTTAAACATGCCATGTATGTACCTCTGCGGTCATGATGGGAGTGCCAACGGCTGGCGGATTGCAGGGCAGGGGACAGTAGTCACGACACTCTGGATGGCTCACAACCTTACAATCCTGGCACCGAAGGTACATCTTGCCAAACTTTGTTCTTCTTCCACATGGTACGCAGAACTCAGACTTGATCACCTTATTTAGAGAAGGAACGCAGTGCCCAAGGTGAGTGGTGGTACTTCAAGAATGGTGAACAAGCCGTTAGTGTGGATGCAGACAAAACAATAGGTAGACAGTCTTACTGTTTTGGGGGTGAACTGGTGCTTCTTTCCTCCTCCATTAGGTCTGGGGGTTCGGAGCTGGGCTGGTAAAGTGGAGACTGGTATGCTTGGAGCCTCACTTGCGGTCTCAGATTGGTCAGTAGTGGTAGTATCACCCCATGCTGGAGCAACTGTAGGCACAATCACATGTTGGTAACATCACCAAACCAGTGAAGAAAGTCAAAAAATGATTCGAGCATATATTGGTTTTATAGTCTATTAATTTTGTTGTTTTTGTTCGAAAGGTCCCGTAAAGAGAAACCATACAGAAGATCTAGAAGATTCTCACCGCTCTTTCTGCTGCGCGTCCAGTAAGGAACAGCTTCAATGGTGGAGACGGCCTCGACAGCACCACCGTTCATCGGGACAGTGATGGTGGTCTTTGTCACTATAGACTCATTCATCTGAATCATATATTTAAAAAAAATATATTAATTGCTTTTTTCAACCAAACTGACATCTGAGTTGCTTTGGAAAAAACAATAGTGAGGTTTACTTTCACTCGATAGACATTTAAGTTGTCTTCCATTTAAATAAAAAGAGACTTAATCACCCAAAGCTGTTTCACAGACTTTTTTTTTTTCAAGTGTTAGTGTTCTATAGTACATTTAGCTTTAGAGGAGGTCAGCATTACCCTTTCTGTTGTTCGTCCAGTGGAGCGAGGTTTCTTCATTGCCAGTGGAGGAACCTCAGAGAGTTTTCTGGAGGAACGCTGCAGATTAAAATGTACAGTAACTTTCAAAAACACGTTTTATGGATTGGCCGCTGAAGACTGTACACCAAATAGCAGGACAAAGTTGTGCTGATGTGTAGTAAAACAGCATGAATCAAAACCACTGACTGCCTTTACACCTAGGAGGCAGTCTTTCAAAATACATGATAAAAACTCACTCGTTTCTGGCGTTTCCGCAGTCGCACAGTCTTCATCGCGGCGGAATCCCAGTCCTGCAGGTTAAGAGGACACACAAACCATAGCACTTAATGAACTTAACTAAATGAATGCGGTTGTATCTGAAATCAGAAGTTCTCATAAAATATACAGTGACACGTTTAAGAAAATAGTTCAAAAATACCAGAGAGTCGTCCGTTTGGTCATAGCTGATGTCTGACATCAAAGAAGCTGATTCATCAATGATAGTTAACCTGTAAAATAGATTCATGTCAGCACTTAATCTTCCTGTCGGAAGTGGAAGGCTCGTCGGAATACAACACAATACTCTGGTGAGTTATACAAGGCTTTAATATAAGAATTCATATTTTACATATGGCGGACAGTGCATTCACTAACTTCACAAAGTGAACCAATAAAGTTCCCGTATTATACGTGAAAGTTCAAACAAGGATGGGAGGATGTGGTTCGATGAACACCTGAATCATCATTGTTGTCTTATCAGTAGCTGTTTCACAACCACAGGAGGAGGATCTGACCTTCGACTGGAGTTGAGGTTGCTCTTAGCAGCCTGTGCTGTCTGTGAGTGAGCACTGAGGAAGGCCAGGGCGGAGCGCTGCTCCTCACTCAGGTAGACACTGTTACCGTTGTTCTCCGATATCAGCAGCTCCCGGATCAGCTGGAGCTGACGTTCCTGTTACAACCACAAACCAGACAATGGAGTAGAAGCGACGCTGGATGTTTGTGGGGATCACATACAGGTGCTATTTGGATTATTCTGGTGTGCTGTGCTTAGTCCATCTTGTGAAGGACTAAGCATGGGTAGAATATTGTCTCAAAAAGATATAAAATAGTACCCTTCAAAAGTAATACATACATAACTTATTTAAAATGACCAACGTCTTGCGACTGACATGGATCTTTATCGGGTTTGTTGTCAGCAGACTGCATTTTATATGTTTTTGAGACCATACTCCACCCATGCAATGAGTCCCTCGCAAGATGAAATTAATTTCTATATTTTCCTTTTTCTAACTTCCTATATATTCCAATAGCAACCACACAGATGTACAAGACTCCTAACTAGTGTTGTACCAACCAGCTTCTCATGAACTGCCTCCGCCTTCTGCCGCCGGCGGATCTCCACATCCACCTGGTTGCGGGCATGCTTTAGCTTGACCTCCAAGGCTCCTCTCTCGGTCTCTGCTTTTGTCAGCACTTCTTTACAGGAAACCAGCTCCTCACCTGCTAGCATCCACTTCTTACGGCACTCCTCAAAGTTAACTGCCATCTGGAGGAACTCTGTAAATAGACAATAGAAGAGGAGATTGTTGTATTGCTACTGTGCAATAATATACATTTTTTTCTGTGGTGGTTATGTGTGATAAGCCTCCAAAATGCAATTGCAGTGGCAATGATGTAAATTACCTGAAGAGAGAGGACAAAAGGACAGTAAAGTGAACAAATGAGTGACAGTGCTTTCCTGTTAGTTACAATGGAAATGAATTGCATTATCTGGACTATTGAAATGGAAATTTTTAACTCCACCCCAATAGCTATTTCAACCCCCATTTGTGACATGTGGTGCACCAACAATTCCCACAGCAAGTCTGTAGTCCTGGCTCTGCTAACCTTTAGTTGCAAAGGCTCTATACTTTCCTGAATTTGCACCAACTAACTGTATGGGATAAAAAATAATGCACCCAATATCACTGCTACTAACGTTAGCACAATGCCATAGCAGACAAGCTTAACTACACCAACGTTACACAAGTACTTAAGCTCTGACAGCCTTCTAAAGGAGGTGGCAAATACCAAAACCAAGTGTGGAAATAACTTACGTGGTTCAATGCCCTCATTCAGACCGTCCACCTGGGCTCTCAGACTCTGGAACTGGTTGTGCAAGTTCACCACAGACGACTCCATCGTGTGTTACTGCATGCAGCTACTTACATTAGTAGGGAGAGATGGGAGAGTTTAATAATAATGCCAGTAAATGTTACCCTACTTATTGGCCCGTTGAATTAGCCAGTTAGTGGTACTGACACTACATTTCATGTCGGTAGGTTAACCATGAAATAAAAAAAATGCTTACATTAGCTATAGTGCTGAAGAAAAACAACGTTAACGTATCTTCATGACAGCTCCTTGTGTTCGCCATGACTGTTTGCGAAACAACTCAAGCTTGTTAGCCAAGTTAATGTTACGATAGGTTTAACGTTAACGTTACTGCACCTAAAATGACGCTATCGGCATGCTAACAGTAACGTTAGCAAGTTTGTGTTGACTTAACGCTAGCTAACTATCGTTCCGTTGGTCCAAAGAAATAACAAAACACTTACCTGTGCAATGTTTTTCCGATGATAGTGTGGCTGACATGTAACGTAATAACGTCCAATGTTTAAAGCAAAGGTTATGTGGTTGGTTCCCACACCAACAACAGCAGAGCCACACCTATTTGATAAAGTTTTCACATTCTTGCTCAAAGTTTAAAATCAGCGCCGGTTTTCTTCTTCGTGGGCTGTTTGGCGGAAGTTGTAGCGCTCTATCGCCCCCATACAATCAGAGTTGTAACTGCAGGGGGTTGTGGCGATTAGTGTCCTCTGGTTCCTAAAACAGGAATCCAATCATCCCCTGGAGTCAATTCGCTAGAATGTCATAACGTGATGTATGTGTAATATCAAAAAGAATATATATTATATGAGTCATAGAAATACTTCTTAAAAAGCATTATTATCTGAAATTTTGCTGTACTATATGAACATAAATTAAATACAACATTTTAAAAATGTATATATTACAGAGTCAATATGTAGGTCTATTTAGAAAATATGTAGGTTATCTATCAATATTATGCCATCATACAACTTTCATTTCAATTTGACCCATTGGTTTTGTTAACATAATACAAATAAATAAATAAATAAATAGGAATTGATCTTTCTATTTTCCAGTTCATTATCAATTCATGAACTAGAGTATTTTTTAAATCAAACATTGATTTAGTTATCAAAGTAGATTTTTTCTTTATTAATCTGTCTTTCAATTGTTCAATTAATTATGAATGACTGAACCGCTATAACTATTTTAAGAATTCTGATGTCCTCCTGTCCTCCATACATTAGAGGAAGACATCAGGGAGATACATAATACATGACATTGTTTATAATGACCCAGTGTAGCTCTTTATTTACTGCATAGAAAGACAACAACCATTTCAGGATCTCTGAAAAAATCGGTGTTAAAGTTAGCTGTGCTTGGAGTTACTCTGTAGGTTTTTAAACATTTAATGAGGGTATCTCTCTCACACACACACACACACACACACACACACACACACACACACACATACACACAAAATCAATTGCAAACAACTTACATGTGTGCTTCCATAACACATTAGAATTTAAAAAAATAGACTATAACTGATGTGTGTGTGCTTGTGTTTTTAAAATGCATTGGCAGGCGGATTTAGCGTCACACTTGTCCACAGAACATTGTGAGTGCGTGTGTGTTGTAAATATCGTATGTCCATTAGAGGTGATTTGGGATAATGGGATCTGTCAGTCAATATGCAGTCTCTGTCTTAGTCAATTATTTATTTCTATATGTACATTTCCTCCAGTCACAGATCATTTAACTGACTGAATTCTCTCTTTACATCAATCACCCTTCCTAAACTGAGTGGACTATTACTACTTTCTGCATTAATCTGTATTCTGGCATCAAGAGCAACGCCAAGAGGAAAAAAGGGAAATAATTAATTTTGCAAAACAGAGCAGTTGCTCTTAAATGTATGTTTATAACATAGTGCAAACGTATTATTTATCAGATCGAACATATTGTAAAAGGTATGTTACCACTTTGCCGAGTTTCTTCAGACAGGCAACAAAGGTCAACGTAACATTTTCTTTAATTCACAAGCAGTTTTTAAGACAGAGTGTTTACCTGAATAATGAGTTCACAGATTTATAGATGTCTGTCTAGAAGGTGCATGAATAATAGGCTACAGCAAGGTCCAAATTTCACAAGTGCATCTGAGGAATGAAAAAAGTATCACCAGGCTCTTATGCAACGAAGTTTCAGAGGAAGCACCGGCAGCTCGTGCTGAGTAAGGCTTAGGCCTCCTCAGTGGCACCATTGGAAGGGTAATGGATCCACAAACAGCCTCATGGGGAACACTTGGCAGATATACATCTACTTAGGAGGATGCGTGCTAGCAGAACACATCATCTATACATCCTTTGCATAGCTGTGCACACAAAGCAAAGCAAAGTGTAAGGGTCTGGATACAGGTAAAGAAAACAAGCATTTTAATGCACGTTAGTTTCTGTCCACTTTGGTGTATCAAGGGAAAAAGTGCTTATCTATTGTTCAACAGAAACAAAATCATCCATATCTAAGAAAGTAGAACATCAACACCTAGAAAACATGATACAATCCAATACATTTGCCCTTTTTATTATTGAGATAGTGTCGGTGTTGAATTTCACTATTTGATGACAGATAGAATTGTAATAGATTACACGTACAGTATTGTGAAGTGTGCCTCTTATTGTGACCACTCTATAATGCACATTGTATTGCATTACAGCCTTACATTACAAACTCTGCAAATGTAGTTTTTTACAGTGGACATATTAGGTTGAATTTAATCATATTTTAAAAGTGTGCATGATTTTGTGTCAACCCCCCCACAGTCTGGCACCAAGAGTCGATTTTAATATAATGTCTACCGAGTTAACAGGATGCTTTTTACAAAATGGAATGTCACACAACTAGCAAGACTATTTTCATCAACTGTTAAAAGGACGCCAGAATAATCTGTTGGTGCTAAGTGAGCCTGCAGGTATGTGGAAGAGCTCTGGCCAAGTGAGTATAGTGATAGGATAATGTGCATAGGTGCACTTCAAACATCCCATCAATTGAATTACAAGTGGAATCTCCCACTCAGAGAGTGTTTACTGGAAAAGGCTCCCTCTTTCCTTCACTGCTTCAACAACAACACATTTTTTTTACCTTCCGGGTTTTGAAACCTGAAACTTGGTAAACACTCCAACGCAAACACATCCATGAGTGGATTAAGTAGGAGGAACTTTATAAAAATATTATTTTGAATTGACTTAAACTTGTTTGAGCACTATATTTTGTTGTGTAAGGAAAGGACAAGAGTATTCAACCTAAAAGAAAGCAGAAACGCTCCTGTCGAGAGAATCCATTACTATTTATGAACAGAGGATGTAAAACTCTTATGTAGTGATGAAACTCTTTTCTTACATAGAAGGGGAATAAGCCCTGAGGTGGCAAAAAAGTCAGGCAGTGCTCAAGGCTGAAGCAGATTCACAATGCATTTGTAAAAGTGTTGTTACTCAGAAAGAGCAGGCAAAATGAGACGAAAAAGAAACTGACAATTTGCATTGGCTCAGTATTACTAGTTTTAACATATCCTCTCAGAGATATTTGACAATTATGTAAAACATTCATACTTAAATGCTTCCTTTTGCAGCCATCTGAAATGATTAAGAACAAAAATCATTTAAGGGGGAAAAAATGTAACATGGGAGATTATTTACAATGTGTTGTGACTGCACAAGGGAGTAAGCTACAGTAAGATACAGTTCGAATCTTCCTGTTTTTCCGAAGTCATAAATAATGGTGCTGCATGCAGAGAACTCTAAGGAGTTACTGAATGTTAACTGATCGCCAATCCAGCTTTATAGTCTTAGTGTCAGTCAGCAACTTATCTCCATGAGAATGGCGTGCAAGCTCCTATACAGCACATATCTGGCAGGCAACAATGTGGGCTGTAAAGGTCTTCATGTCCTTATGGTGCAAATGGGAATGACAATGATGAGAATAATAACCACTGCAGACGCAATGAGTGCAAGCAGCTTGCAGACCTTGGCCCGGCGGAGGTCAGCCTCTTTACGCCTGAGTAGAGCATCATAGCCTGGAGTGTAAATGTCATCCATCCAGAACTCCATGTTGTTGGGATTCAGAGACTCCTGGGTCTGAGTAACATGATGCCATTTAAAGATTATTAGAGCAGTTATACACTCACATAGATTAAATACAAATCCTAATCTAAGATGTTAAAGGAAATTGGTCTTTCCTGCTATGAATCGTTAATTTGCGATGTGCTATCACATGACAATAATTGTATTTTACTAACCCCACTTTTCTTGAACTTGGATGATATAAAAAAAATGAATCTATCAATTAGGAAAACATATCACATTTACTCATTTATAGACTAAAACCAACGACTTTATAGAAAAGATATGCTGGGAAACATAATTGGATTCAATGTTTTTAACTAATGTAGCCCTTTCAAAGTCAACAAATCTTACCTGTAAATCCAAAGGGGAGATTCGTGCCTCTCTGTGGTCTACAGTCCATATGGGCCTTCCCCTCCCCTCAGACAGTCTGGGGTCCAGGATCTTCCCAGAGTTAAGCCCACCAGTCAGACTGCTGTCTTTGTGGCGGAACAGGGACGAGTTAAACACTTGTTCCACCAGGCTGGAGGACTTTTTGGAGATTAGGTTAGTCGTGCTGTCAGACTGATCTGCCTATAAGGAAAATGGGCCAAACACAGATTTTATATAGACTGTATTATACAAAAATGTATTTGATTCTTTCTGCACTATTTTGTGTCTTTTATGTCATTCTCACTTTTTATTGGGATTTTCACTGCCAACAACTGCTTCTTTGTAATTGTTTTGCATATAACAGTAAACAACTTAAGTGTTCATTGTAAAGGTTTAAATTTTTGTCAACTGACCACTAAATCACAGTCTACACAGCAGACCACAAGCTTCAGGCCAAACATATTTTGTGGTCGCACGTTATACGCATGGTGTGAGGATTTGTACTTTTGCCTTCAAAATGGATTACTGTTGCTGACACTCATCTCTCATCTAACAGTTATTTCTTCATATATCATTGTAAATAGAATACACTGTGCACAGTAAAATTAGTCTACCTTTTCATGTGAAGATTTGCCACCTTTACTTTTGGAGAATGACACTTTCCAGTCTCTTGCAGAATTAGAAACATTCAGCTGTTTCGAATCAGACAGATTTTTCTCTTCAAGCTGGGTTTTGGAGGCACGACGAGATGATGCATCCTTCTTCCCTTCTTTCCCCCCCTTTGAATCAGCCTGACCGTTAATGCTTTCTGGTTGCTCCACGGAAGTATTCCACCGGTTCCAGTCCAGACTACTAGTGCTGGTCCCTGGAAACAGATGCTCAGACACAGACAGAGGCTGAGGCTCTGATGACTCAGAAGGGGTTATAGGGTGGCTCATGAAAGAGGAGACACCGCTGAGAGGCTCCAGCCATCGCCCACCGGTGCCTTGTCCATCAACGCTGATAGGCTGCTGGATCTTTTCATCCAGCCGCTGCAGAGCAGACAGTACCTGGGAAATCTCAGCCTTTACATCATTCAGTGAATCCAGTTGTCTTTCTATCTGGCTCATACGGAGCAGCAGCTTACAGACGCCGGCCTTGAGCCCATCATCACTGCTTTCCAGAGAGTGGAAAAGCCTTTGGAGTTGACCTAGGCGGCCACGTCTGGCCTCGTGGCTGTCCTGGTTAATGGCCCCTGATCCATCGCTGGGGTGCAAGACTCCCGTGGAACCACACATGCTTATGTCATCTAAGAAACGAAAGATGGCACTGATGTCATCCTCACCAATGTCAGGGTCGTCTAATGAGGTCATGAAGGAGAAGCGGTCAGCGTGGACAAGGCTACGGAGGCACCGGGTGTCTGGTGGGTCTGTCTGGGTTCCTTGAGCTTTGACTCCATTGCCTCCACTATCCCCAATCTCGCCTCCTATGGACCCCCCCAATCTGCTGATAGCAGGGGTTGATCGTCTTGGAAATTGCCCCCCTTGTGATTCCATCCCCATTCCAATGCTGCCCAGGCCTATCCGGTCCTCTAGACTGTGACTCTTGTTGCTCCAGATGGGCCTCTTGGTCCTCGGAGGTTGAAGGTGCCGGGGGGACCACTCTGGGACTGGCCGCGGCCCGAAGTAAGTTGAGTCCTGTAGATCATTAAGGCTCTCGTGTTTAGCCCTCTGCTCTGGCTCTGGCGATTGGTTGACTGCTGCTGGTGATGGGTAAGGATTCGGGATGGTTTCAAAGCTGTGATTGTCGAAGCCTTTTTGAACCTTGTTAGGACTGGGAGACTCACTGTTAACAGTCAACTGGGGTATTAGAGGTGGCTGGTTATGAAAGTCCTTCTTAAAGATGTTTCTCTTCTGGTCGACAGACGATCCCTGTTCATCTTCAAACACCTCCATGGGCACAGAATCTCCACTAGACTCACTGTCCGTCTCCAAAGGCAGGTAGATATTCTTCATGACCTCGTTGGGGATTTGGCCACTAGGGTACAAAAGTGTGGTGTGAGGCAAGTCGAAAGAGACAGCCCTCGCCCTGATTGGAGGGGAGGACACAAGTGAGATGGGATCGGGGGGAAGACTTGCTCGCTTGTGGGCAGAGTAATTAGATCTCGGAAACAGAAAGTGCTGATCGATAGGCCAGCCACTGGAGTCAGAGTGGGCTCGGGCTCTTTCTCGACCAGAACTGTTTAGTTGGTGTATTCCAGGCAGACTGGGGCAAGGGGATTGGTCGATGGGGAGGACCATCTGCGCTCTGATTGGTTGGCTGTCATCAGGGGAGCCACCCGTCATCTGAATAAGATTGAAGATAGTTACAATGTCAGCAGCGACGCCTATGGGTGAAAGCCCCTGGCCTCTTGTGGAAACACGATCTCTGAAGAGAGTAGCTGGGAAACAGGGGTCCTGGCTGGCAGCAGCAAACAGCAGACTCCTGAGCTCGATAAGGTGCTCCAGGTCAAAGCGGGTGCTGACCATACGACAAAGATCCTGGAAGGTCAGCCATTGGCGCATATTGGCCAGTTCCTCCAGGATCCCCAGAAGGACCTCAGGGTATTCCTGCTGCAGGTTAGCCATGGCTGCTCACCTGAGAGAGAAAACTAGGCAGTTAGTGATGCCAAGGAAAAACAAGTCAATATAACAACACAGAAAAAAGATAAGTGCATGTAAATCTGTAAAAATATCTTTTCTTTATGAAAGTATAATAGCTTAACAATAATATATGTTTTAGTATCATATACATGTCAATAAGAATAAAAAAGCAAGGGATATTGTTATGTGTTGAATATTTGTTGTATTTTTATGTGAAAATATATAGTTCTATTATAGATTTTTACCCATGCTCTCATTATATAGCATGTTAATAATAGAGATAAAATGCTGCACACGTTTTGAATAAAAAACGAATTGTCAGTTCTATTTTTGTATTAGTTTCACTTAGGTCCAACATCAATAGTGTTTCAGATCTGATACCGTTTCATAGGATGCATATAATTATGTAATTGGTCGAAATTAGAATTAGATAAGACATTTTCAGCTCGGATGGAAAAAGCCCTTTGAGTGGGGAATTTGGAAAGTGACCTTATTTTTGGAACCTAAAATAACAGATCATCTGACCTGATGATGCTGTCACACTGCGCACAGCTTTACCTCACTGGACATTTCTCATCTTCTCATTTCTATTAACCACCTCGGGGCAGACTGGGCACTTTACTGAACACGTGCTAGATGTGTGTCGATGAATATACCGACATGCATTCAGTAAATTTATTCCAGCCACCTATTAAAACGGTCTGAAGACGAGGACAGGACTGGACATATTCTTGGAGAAGGAGCAACAATATTTACTGCAAGTCGATCCCCTTTTGAGTATCATCAGCTGGGACAACGCCAATGACATGTCAGTGTTGCAAATGCAATCTGGGTTAACATCTTACCAAAGGTGTGAAGGTGAAGGTGAGCCAATGAGTATTTCCACTTACCTGAATCTGATGAAAGATAAAGTCAGTCCTGCGTCCATGAAAAATGACTAATAAAATCCAGTTTTATGTCGATAGCGAGGACATATTGCAAATAGATCCAGGGCTGCTCATACTGTTACACTGATTTCATGGGCTTCTCTGTTTGTAGCAGCAACTAGCCCACAGCTCAGGCAGGAGAGGAGAAAATTAGAAATCAGGTCATCTTCCCACAAGTCCTTGCAGTCCCCTAAGGGACCTTAAAATACATCCAAACGGTTTCCCCATATCAGAGACAAGCGCCGACACTTGCAAAGTCAACAGTGCACCCTCATTTCTGATTGATACATAGGAGGAAAAACACCCTGTTGGCAGTGTATACGAGTAGGTCAGGTCCAGGAGCATATTTTCTCAGGGTGCTATAGCAATAATTGGTTATGTGTGCAAATTGAGCATAAGAATAAAGGGCAGATTAAAAATTGATGTTTTCTAATAGACACTCCAAACTGACAGTAAGCCATAAGAGCTGAAGTAAATGACCTGCTAGATTGCTGCCTACACACAGAACTGTCTGCCAGACTTCAGCCCTCCCAGACTTTTCACCATTACTCTACATTATCATCCATAAAGGGTTGTACTTAAAACTCCATTAGAGCAAGAGAAGGGCAAGGCTTTCATCGTCAAGTGGTAGCACTCCGCTACAATCAGAATGGACATCTCTAATACATCTGACAACTCACAGAGGAGCCCATCCATCACCCCATGTACTCAGGAATCACTGGGAATCAATGCAGCGAATGAGCCGTGGTATGTGGATGTAGGTATAGGACAATAATGTATCACTGTCAGGCCTGTAGCGTAGCACTTCTGTATACCAGGTGAAAAAAAGTACAAAGGTTGAATAATGTATTCAAAACATAATCTGCTTTTTTATTTCACAGCACTTGGCATTTACAAAAACATCTACCAATTGAGGAAAACTGATTGTGTTGTCATTATTGCAACATTTCAGTATAGCACAGAAACATTTAAAATTTGACTGGATAGTCTACTTATACATACATTAGGGAAAGATCCCTCTTGCTTAATGCAGACAAACCCAAGGTACCTTCCTAACAACAAAGTTGGTACAAACAGACCAGAATTGGCATTACGGCACCAACTATAACAAGAGTAAAGGTTTCACAGGACATGACAAATATGTAAACATTACTGCGTTAAGGTTTCAGATTCTCTGTCTCTTTTCTTCTTTGTTTTTGATTTCACCACAGGAGTTACAAAGGTTGGCGTCAGTGAAGGATTCAAGGCTGGATCTAATGCCGGGTTCAGGGACAGCAGGTCCAATATAGTTGCACTCTCATGACCTGTTGAAATATGACAGCATGAAGGACCGAGACAGAGGAATGGTGGATACATATATTTACTATCTGACTAAAAAGGTGCTTACCAGTGTTGTCCTCCTCACCGCTGGGTTCTAGGTCCGGACTGTGGAGGGAGACCCGGGCCGAGGCTGCCAGCTCAGTTATGAAGCTTTCTTCTGCCTCCTAATGGACACGACAACACAGTGCTTACAGGAAATGACCGTGCAAGCTTGTGAATCAAGTCGTTAACCTATTGTGAGGCAGGGAAGTAAAGAAAACATGAAACATACTAACCAGCAGCTGTGCTTTGATCCTTTCCATGTTCTGATCCTGGGCTACTTTCTTCTGCCTCAGTTCCTCATATATAACTTCCTGGTCCAGATCACACTGCTCCAACACCCTCCCTTTGTGGAGTTCAACCCTGAGACACAAAAAACAAAAACAAAGTAACAACCTAAACTATTATTTCATGTATTTAAGACGGACAAAAGTGTGTCGGGCTGACAAAGAGTGTAGTGCTGAAGGGTGGTGTAGTGCACGGTTGTTGCACCTCTGTTGAAACTCAGCAGAAGTGGGTTTCTTGCCCCAGTTCACCAGCTCCCTCAGCAAGGATCTGCTCAGCTGACTGCTGCTCTCTTGTTTCTCAGTCACCTCTGAAGGAACAGTAACATTAACACACAGTAGATTTTCTAACTTTAAGGGTTCTTTCACAACAAAGCTGTTTGGTTTAGTTAAAACAAACTCAGGTCTGTTTGTCTGGTTTTTTACAGTTCATTCGGGCCGGTGTGAAAGCTGTCAATTGAGCCCCGGGGCGGACCACACAACCAAACCTCGGCCGCTTGAAAAGGCGGGTCTCCGTCGGCTTCAAAGCAGACTCTTGTGTTGTGTTTGTCACGTTACAAACAAAATAAACCAACCACAAGACTTTACTATAGCAGATATGTGAAATTAGTATGATTTCAAAAGCTAAACTACTAATAAATACATCTGCTGATCATGAAATATGTTCAGGATGCAACTATATAAATGATCTGTATATGGCAATGTATAAATCATTTGGAAACCATGGTAAAACGTATGCACGTCAGCGCGGGTATTTCCCCTAACTAATCCAACTCTGTATGCTTTATCAGTTCATTAAATCAATTAAAAAGTGCGTGACAGCGATCCCACAGTAAAAATCATTACTGTACAAGACGCCTCCTTTTCGTCCCGTCTCTAACTGTTAGCGAATATTGACAACATGCGGTCGATTTGCAGTCAGTCACCAGAATTTTATTCCCTCATGTGATTCCTGATGATGTAGGATGACAATAGCCAAAACTGTCCAATCAATGAGTTACCTGTCAGTCTGTTTGACTTCATGTTTACTCCTCTTGGTTTGTTTGTAAAAAGTCAGTCTGAACAGGAACCAGATCATTTTTCCTCTTCGTCAGGACCAAATGAACCGAACTACAGGTCTGAAAGCACCCTACTGAAGACATATCTACTATTGTCTGCTGAAATCATGCTGCCTTAACAGTGACGAGTAGGATAACAAAGTAGGTTATAACAAGTCTACACAATCCTGGTCATCATTGTGCAATTGTATTGCAAATTGTCCCTATGACTGAATGAAATACTGTAAATTACATACATCTTGTCTAGATAAGGATTAAGGTTGCAGCCATAACAGCATCAAAATCAGAGTTTATACAGATGTGAACATGTTCATGTGTGTTGTGATTGTCATCTCACCCTTGTTTATGTTAAACTGATCCTGCTCCATTTTCTTTACGATGTCCTTCAGGTGGGAATAGTAGCTTTGGACCAGTGCGGTGAGAGAATCTTTGGTCACATACACGCTCTCCGAGGCAGCCTCTGTCAGGTGGCGCTAATGAGGAACAAATGTTACTCCAAGGTGCTTAGCAAACAAACCTGAAGTAGAAAGATGGTTCTAATGCTTACCTTCAAGCCATCATCCTGTTTTGGAGAAGTACGCGACTCGGTGGGTGGGTTCTCCATCATCTGTTGGATGGCGTGGCTAAGGGCGTTGCCTACCACCAGCTGTGCGTGGCTCTGGAGAAGCTCCATCCCCGTTTCCAGTTCAGACAGGAACTCCTGCTGGAAGCTGTGGCCAACCAGCTGACTCTCTGGGCCCAGATGCCTCTCTGCTAGGCTGGCACTGCTGCTCTGTGATTGTAATGGGACAACAACGCCGTTCAATCTGCTGTGAACTTGGCTAGTATGTCAGACAAGTGAATAGGAGACATACTGTATTGTGTGGTGGTTTTGAGGTGCTTAAAAGAATGTATTGATAAAAATAATAAATATTTCCCACCTTGAGAGTTGAGTTGACACAGAACTGGCTTTTACTGGGATCTTCCATTAGCACAGCTCTGAAATCCGTCTGAGAGAGTGCCTTCAGCTTTGAGAGCCTCATCTCCTTCAGCATGTGCAGACAGAAGTGCCTGACCACAAAGTACCTCTGCACCGCCACCAACAGGTGCTCATGTTTCTTCTCTATCAACCTTCCCACGTGGCTGAGAAGAAGATCATATTGCATCATTTCCAAGTAACTCATAAACATTGATTTAAATACTGCAAAAGTGGATGTGGCTGTGCTGTAAATCTGCTGCCAGTGAGGATTTAGTGTTTGTTTACATCAGGTAATTGTTCACACTCTCAATACGCCATAAATACTTTTTGACAGGTTTTCCAATCTCACCTGTTGAGTGTGTAGCTCTGTCTGGCCACCATGGCCCGGAGGATCGTCATCTGTTGTTCACTCAAGTGTTTGAGACAGGCCTGTACCAGAGCCATCTCCTCATTCCACACCTACAGCAAAAGAGGCTCAGTTAGAAACACCGGAAAGCCTTTAGTTTAGTTAAACTCTTGCAAATATCTAATGTACATCCATTTGTATCCGATTCCCCAGATGGTGTCTACCTGTCCATCTTCGTCCAGCTGAGCCCTCATGTCCTCCAGTTGCAGCTTGGTGGTGCACTCTGCTTGCTGCAGCTGTGCGACCAGCTCCTGCTCCAGATCCAACCACAGCTTCTCGCAGCGTTCAGCGGAGACCTTTGACTGGGCAGGGACAGAGGTGAGAAAAACATCCTTGGCTAGGTCTCCAAGCCTCTTTGACCAGGAGGCACGGAGTTTCTGCGGACACAAAAACGCACACAAGACCAATGTAAATACTCTCGCAGAAGTAAGCACACAAATGCAAAAATGCAGTATTTGATCTTTTACCTTCCAATGGTCACAGAGGGCTTCAGCCACCCTGTTGTCCTGCTGCTGCTCCAAGTCAGACATCTGCTGCCTGTGTTTCATCAGCAGCTCCTGGTACACCTGAAGGAAAAGTTACAGTTCAGATGTAGATACCAGTGTAGTCTGCAAGCAGTTTATTGGCCTATTTATTATAAACAGTAAGTCCAGATCTACATATTGAGGTGTGAGAGGCAAAATGTTACAACCTTGTTGAGCTGCTTTAGGTCATTGTGAGTCTGTTTCAGTTCCAGGGCGCAGCTCTTCTCCTTGGTCTGGCTCCTCAAAAGCTTCTTCCTCTTGGACTCCATTCTGCTGCACTTCTCATCCACCAGCTCCTTTGTCTTTCTCGTGCACTCTGGAACACGATCGACCAACTTCTGTATGAGCTGGACTAGTTTGAGCATTTTGAAAATAACTGCAGTTTGCAAAGCCAGCTGGAAGACTATGTTAAGAATGATCATTAACAATGAATGAGTAGTATGTGAGGGACAGTATATTCAGAATACCCACAGTTACATGTACTTACCCACAAGAGCAATAAAAACACAACAGAAAAGTAAAATACACCCAGAAACTGAAGTACATTGCCAAACTAATGGTGCACTTAGTTGCATGAGCGTCTAGGGTACAGTAATAGTGCAATAGATATTCTGTGCTGTCCTGAAAGAACCTGACCTTATTTAAGGATCTAAAGAGGATTCACAGAAAATGGTCTATTTTGAGAGAAGTAGGCTAGACATTGTCCACTGATACCTGCAGCCAGAAACTAGTCGAGTGAAATGTGAGAAAAGGACACACACTCACACTGTGTCAGTATTTAGATAACTGTGTTACTGAACTTATTTTTCAACTTGCTTAACCCACAAAATGCTGTAGTCTAACATACCCTTTGTCTATTGTCTTTTGACCCGATAGTGTGTTGCAGTGAATGGACTGAGATGAAACTGAAATGTTACCCTCTGTGCACTGTTGAAGGCCTTCGGTCAGAGTGGCCTGAACCTCTGAAAGTATCTTTTCCATGTGGCTAAAAGTCAAGACGTCATCGCTCGTCAGCTGCTCCAGTGTTGTTGCTATCAAGCCCTGCCTCAGAGACACTTCCCGATTTAGCATAACAGGTTGGGATTGAAGAAGCCCCGTCAGCTCCTCCCACCACAACAACTTCTGCTGGATACTCTGCGAGAAGTAGAAAAGAACTTTTCCTTTAGTGTATCCAGTTCTTCGCACGATGACGCAAGGGACGAGCAGCAAAATGAACGGTGTGCCAACGAATAACTAGTATTGCTTTACCTTTAGATAAGCTTCCTGTGTGTTCATCAGCTGGTTTTCCACTAACAGAAGAGTCTGGATGAGAGAGAGAATCACATCCTGTGCTTCATCTGGAGAGAAAATGCTGGTCTTCTTCAGCAGATGCTGGCACAAGTCCTCCACCTGCTTGCTGAAACACCTGGACTGTGAAGAGACACGGATATTAGCTTTCCCTTTAGAACTGTCAGTATAAATACAGGTGTTCTAATAGATTTAGTATATAATGAGTATTAGGTTAATTGTTAAAGAATTTGCTCTCTGGGGTTTTCTCCTCATTTTTACCACTTGAAGGCCACGTTCAAGAAGATCTTTCTGAGCTCTCTCTATTTCCTCCAAAGTACAAAAAGCATCGTCCTTTTTCTCGCTGGCAGTGTGGCCTGTCGGCAACTGTTTCTTCAGCTCATTCAGTTCCTGAAATGACAGATGACAACAGACGTATGTACGTACGTACGTACGTATGTATGTATGTACGTATGTATGCAAGTATGTACATATGTATAATAGACATCTGATCTGGCCCTACCTTTTCTTGCATTTGAAGAATATTCTTGGAGAAGTCAGCATCATTTTTGTCTTTTGGAAAACGACCACTGAATATTATTTTCCCCATTTGGAGAAACATCTATAGCAGGAAAAAGATAATAAAAGAAAATAAAACAACCATTTTTGCCTTTTGAACTTTGACACATACTTATAATAAATATTATAATACTGTGTTAAAGAAAAATGGTAAAAATTCACCAGGCATTTGTCATCCTGAAGCTGGGAGCAATGTTGTTGGATATCCTGCAGGGCCAAACAGTAAAGGCTGATCCTACCTTCAAAACTAAAGAGATAACATGAGTGTTATTAACTCCAACAAACTGGGATTTGTGCATACTCGCTGTAAGATTAAGGTGCATAGTTATGGCTTAACATTTAGAAACTACTGGTTCCTACCCCGGCTGTGTCAGTGTGCGAGGGTAGTGAGAGACCCTGGTGAAGCTCTGGTTCTGCAGGCTCTTGGGGAACAGCGAGGAGGAGATAAACTGACTGCTATCGTCGTTGTCCTGCTCTTGACTCAGAGACTCTCCATCCGTGGAAGAGGACGACTCATCGTTAGGCATTGCTGGCAACTTGGAGTGCTCATGCAGTGACGGATTGGACGCTCCGTCTGCTAAAGGCTGACAAATTCAGCGAAAGTGAAGTAAATCTTAAACCAATTGATTGCAACTTACTATTTTATACCTTACTAGCCCATGGATTGGTTTGCAACTGGTTACTATTTTCTGTTATGCGACCACTTCTATAAAAAATATTGCTTAAACTTGTTCTGATGTACTACTGTTTAGTTTACTAAAGTAAAACTACAAATTATACAATTATTGCTTAAAAAAGCCCTTATATTAAGCATTTATTTCAGTCATTTTGTGAAGAGTCTATTACCTTGTGCACCGAGCAGAAGGTGTATGATATGATGGTGATATGCTGTGTACTTACTCTGTATTTTTGGTTGATGGGATAAACCACCTTTGCTCTGGATGCAAATGCAGCCACATCACTGTTAATGGGTGGTGGCTTCTTCTTCTCCTGGACAAGGAGCAAACAGACTTAATTAGTTAGTTAGTGGGATGTTAATCAGTAGCTTTAAACATCAGAAATGGGTAACCTGTGTCATACACTTAAACATGTTTGGCAGTCCAATCCAGGTATTTTGCATCAATTTACCACTATATATTTCCTGTCACATCCACCTGTTGTAAGTTATAATAAGTCCAAGACGTGTCTTAGATGTTAAAGAGAATAATACTTTATCATGTGCGGTGCCAGTTGGAGGCTCCTTTCTGCAGTGGCTGACACAGTCACTTTGGTTGTTGTCTAATTCCCCATCATCAGGTTCAAGCAGCCGCCTCGCGTTGTGACCCTGATGACACAGGAGCAATACGTTACTGTACATCCAAAGGATGGCGCATAATGCCACTGTAGAAGAAACAGAGGTATTTGCTTACTTGTCTCGTCAACAGCAAAGGCTTCAGACAGAAGACATATAAAAGAGCAGCAGCTAATATTCCCGACAGCCCTCCACACACCGTCGCCACCGTTAACAGTCCCGCGTATATGTGCAGCGACTCGGCGAATGAGACCAACACATCAGTGCCGCATCCCGCCATCAGGTCCTGCTCCATCATTACTCCTCAGACTGTAGGAAGACTTTTTGTCGATAACGTCCAACGTTAACATCACATCTCGAGGACAGTAACGTTAGCTTCTTCTTGCTGTTGACACTGACGTTTCTTTGCTCGCGTATGATTTTAAATGTGTCTTCACTCTAAAAGTGTCTACAACTTACAATTTGCAACAACTTCTTCCAGCAAAAAAAATGTTTTCCCCCAAAACGACAAAACTTGGTGTAACTTGTAGCCAATGGTTGTACGGAGATTTAAGAGAAAGACCGAGCCGCGTCAAGACAGAAGAGCTAGCTAGAATTTAACCGGAAAATAGATGAATTTGCCTTCAGTATAAAAGCACAATAAGGATTCTTGGTATAACTTAGAAAGTAGACCCCTATAAAAATATTAAGGCAAATACTGGTGCGTGAAATGTGTAACCACTAAATATTTGTATGGTTTATTTGCATATTTATATATTTTTTCATGTACCCACAGTTCCGAAAATCCCATGGTCTCGCCTATGACATTTTATTTTGAAAGTCACAACCGGAAACACATTTATGTACTTTGTTTTTAACCTTTCCTTGAAGAGTTGCTCATTCTTCCCAAGTTTTGGAAATGTTTTCCGAAGTTGTGAAGCAACAATGGTCGTGGACCTTGTGTACACCTCTTTGAAATGGCGTCCGTAGTTTTCTCTTGAAATATCTGCATAATATAAGTAAAAATGTTCTTGTACTCCGGAAACGCTCCTACAAGGGAATTTTTCCAAGAAAAAACGGTGGGAATGTTTTCATGGAGGATTTTAACAGTGACAACAGCCAGAAATACAGCCAGCTTGCTAGCGGCTCTCCTTTGGTGAGAGTGGCACACCAATCTACGAATGCTTCCGATAGACTTTATCGGGAAGCGGATCACAATATGGTCATTTCTCTTGAATATCCAAGTGTCCTGTTTGTTTCCACCCCCTGTGTACTTCCGTTGGTGTCGCGATGTAACGTTAACTCGGTGTACCGGTGTATTGGAGCATCAGCGCTGTTGTAACGGTACCGTTATACCTCAGGATGCATCGCGGTACACAACTCTACCATCACCGGAGGTGAGTGACCCAATGGTGGAAATCACAGAGAGATCATTTATTTAGTTGTATCCTTAAACCTTATTTTAGCAACCAATATTTGATTCACATGTCATATCTATGATCAGGCTTTGGTTTTGAGCAGTACCCTTGTTTATGCATAACATATTAAATGTTTTCCATTGTCAGAGGCTCTCCAGGATCCATGTAATGCAACATGAGCCCGGTGGGAAATCATCAGAGCAGACATCTATTAGGATGGATGGTTTGTTCTTATTTTCCTCAAGTCTATGCATCAACAATACAGTAATAACAACACACCAGTGCAAACACCAGATCAACAATTGTACATATGAGTCTGTTTTGTACGCCATGCTGTACACGTACAGATGATGTAATGTTAGAATTCCATAATAGTTTTAGGTCGCAAATATATGATTTACAAACTGTTGCACAGAAAATCTTTAGTACACCGGTATATACAAAACCCCAGTATGTCTATGCATACATAGTATTCATTTATTGTCAATTTCAGCCTTTGTAACTGAGTGTTCAAACGCCCTATTTTTCACCTGACAGGTACAATGGAGATCAATGGGCCCATGGCGTTGTCTGCAGAGGGCCGACTCTCCTCCTCAGCATCTGCTGGTCCGTGGGAACACTCTTTTTACACGCCACTTAGCTTCATGTCAAACATCTTGCATCAACGGAATCGCAGAAGCACTCTTACCAGATACAACCCGAGCCTCCCTTTACCTCAGGTGTGTTTCTAAAAGAGGTGTTTTTGGTCGCTTCAATCACTGTACACACTTTCATGGAGTATGCAGATGTAGCATGCAATGCACCTTCTCATGTATGTGGTAATTTAACAAAGAATTATGTTGGAAGAAACTAAATATACAGTGTGTTTTATGTTTCTGCAGACTCAGAGTGTGGCACCTCCATCCGCATTTGGGGTCAAGTTTCACAAGTGTGCACAGGTACATGCTTGAATACAGCCCATTTAATTTATCTGCGTTTAATTTCAACATATTTTACTGGACCATTTGTTAACATGTTGCAGTCAGTCCAGTGAGTCATACTCTTCCTTCTGCTCAATCAGGTGAAGCTGGACACCGATCCTCCTCAACTGACATTCTTCCTGCTGATTCACAACATGGGTCCATTGGGTGGCACCAACTTGTCTCAGGTGGCTATCCGGGACTCCATTTCTGGAATAGTACCCCTAAAATCTGAAGGCCGTGTGGTGGAAAGAGGCTACCAGACGTTTGCCATTGATTCACTGTCTGGTATGTCTGGCAGTCAATTTGTTTAAGAGATTATTCTGGTTTGAACTTTAAAAATAATTGAATTTGTTCCTCGCTGTATCCGCAATAAATACCATTATACTGATTTTACCTCTTTAGCTGGATCCCAAGTTGTTGTCAACTATACTGCTCACATAAGGAATCATAAGAGTGAAGTCCTCGCCCTTCCAGCTTTCCTCACCTTCTCTAACGCCTCACAGGTATTGTTTTTCTGCTCTATTTAACTGGAAAAGGAATCTTCCAAATGTTAATGATCTCACCATGTCAGTATTTGCTGTACTGAACAGAACATTTTCTCTCTTCTTTTTTCTTGACTCCGCAGAATGATGTCAGTATGTTTGGTCCATTAACGGCTAATCTATCCCTGAGGGTCAACTCCACCGACAGGGTAAGTTGTGGACAGTTCCTTAACTGGAAACACACTTTCAGCTTCAAGCGTTGCATGTTTTGTTCTTGTTTTGTACACAATTGTTTCGATGAGAAGTCTGGTGTTTCTGCCCACTGTTTTAGATTCATCCTAACCATGGGGTCCATTTTGCTGGATTTGTTGCCGGGTTCTTTGTTGCGCTGATGCTGCTGTCACTGGGGTTTCTGGCCATGAACCTGATCGGTCTCCGAACCAGGCTGAGCCTTCTTCAGCAAAGGGTATCTCAAATTCAAATGGGTTTTGTTCAAGTTAAGCTTAATGTTAATGTTAATTACTTATGGTAGATTTACGGTAGTTGTTTATGTTAATGTTATAAAAGTGTTGTTGATGCTTGTTTGTTAAAAGGAAATGTGGTATTTTTGTCCAACCCAACACATCAGTTAACATAACTAATTTAGTAATTTTAAAGAACTGTTTTGTCAAATTTCTGTCAGTATATTTAGCTAATTGATTTTTTATTTGTATTATTCACTTCAGCTATAACATAAATCACTGTGCGTATATTTTCGTGCTTCAGAGAAACAGATGTGATTCCGACCCTGAGTATGCAGACTGCAACATGAGTGAGACCGTAAAAGATGAGGCCGCATTTGAAGACAAGATGGTGGACACCATGGTGCTGGAGGATCCCCAGAACATGTACCAGGCTTTGGAGAAGTGAGTAGACGGGTCAAGAACTTCAACAATCAGTTGTGCCGGTTGTAGCTCGGAAGAAAGACACACCAGCGCTTTATGTTGCTTTCTACTGAGCCACGGTTTCACAAATATTATTTTTATATTATATTTGTATAATACATCTCACTAGGAACCCACAACGCACCGGTTTACCCTGCTTACGCTGTATTTCATCCCTTTAAGCCTTGAAATGTCCACGCTGCTGCATGCCACCAACAACCTGGAGGCCACTCGGATTCAGATCTATAGGGATGTGATGTCCTCCCTGGTGGGCGGCCTGCGTTCCCGGGGCCAGGCCAGTGCCCAGGCCCAGCAGAGGCTCCTTAGTGTGCTCCACGGACAGATGCTGGGCATGGAGGGTCGGCTGAAGGAGGAGCGAGGGGCCCGCATGGCTGCTCTGGCTGGCCACTGTAACCAGGAGACTCGTGAAGAAATGGAAGCCGAGCACCGCAGAGAAGCTGCTGAGAAGGCCCAGGCCGAGCTGCTGTGTCAACATGCAGACCAACAGGTAATACAAAGTCATTTGTTTGTTTTTTCCCCCCTGGATCTGAGAGTTTATTGCATTCATTACTATCACTAAACTGTAAACCTCATTGTGTTACTAGGAGCTCCTCCACTGCAGTGTCCTCCTAGAGAAGCTGCACAAGCTGAGCCAGAGTCAGCTCCAGCGCATCCTGTTGGTCAGACACGAGGAAGCCTCAGGGAAGGTGCAGAGGCAGACCATAGAGTGGCGTCGGGTGGAGTTGCACAAGATTTTCTCTGAAGAACTGGAGGAGGCCACCCGGATGGGCGAGCTGGAGAAGAGCACAGCCAAGAGTCTTCAGCATGATTATTTCGTCTGTCAAGTGAGAAACCAAAATTAGCTTTCAAAGTTGTGACACATGTTATGGATGCATAATTTGAGCGTTATTGACACCTGCAAACATGGCCAGCAGGGCATGTAAAACAGCGTTTGTCATTTATATATCGGCTTTATTCTCTTCTTCAACTTTTCAGCTATCTCTATTTGTGATAATCGGCAAATGAAGCAAACATATAAAAGACATTCGATGACATGTCCTTCTTTTTTCTGACCAGGATCAGCTGGAGGAGGTGCTGGATGTGGTCCTTGCCAACCAGCGCTACGTGCTCGCTGAACGCCATGCACAGAGGAAGTTCTTGGTGCACAGCCTTCACAGCCTCAACAGCCTGATTTCTGACAGCTTCTCCAGCGCCTCCAGCAGTCTGGACAGCTGGTTCACTCACATCAGGAGGTTGGAGCTTATTGTACTTACCAGTGACTCACTTCACATCTAGATGCACTATCACACTACACTACACTATAACTGTGGCCAAGTGAACCTGTAGTGCTTATATTTGTGATGTAAAATATATAATAGAAAATATAGATTTGCAAAAAAACACTTCAAAAGATAAGAGTAAACACAGCACAAAACAAACAAAATATTTGACATATTATTTATACACCAATAAAAGTATTTTACTGATATTTTTCAGAAAATGTGGTCATAATGTGAACATTTGTTAGCAGTTCAACCTTGTAGTCAGTGCTAAGCTCGCATAATATAAGTAAGATGAACTATAGTTGTTTTTTGAACCTGGCATGCTTTAATCTTTCCACCAGGGGGAGCAGTGTGCCTTCAGAGCAGATAGACCAGCTCCAGGAGAAGGCCCAGACAGAGCTGGTGATGGTGAGGCAGAGACTGGAGGAGGCTCTGAGCCAAGAGAGGAGAGCCATGCGCTGTGGACTGATTAAGAAGAGGCGAGAGCTCATCTCTGACTTGGTGAGGAGATCATGCATATTTAAGGTTTTATTCCAAACAACTGCATCATATATATATATATATTTATAAAACACAGAACCTGTTCATCTCATACCTTAACTATTACACCATCTTTAATCCATCTCCCTGCCTTCTCCAGCTGCGAGTCCACAAACGGAGACAGAAGGATCTGTCGGTTTTTGATCTGGAGGGAAGGAGAGATGTAGCTCAGCACCTGCACTGTTGGCAGAACTTACTGATGGCTCACAGTTTGGAGCTGGCAGAGCTTATCAACAACCTGGATGAGGAGGCTGCTGCAGACATCCGCAAGGTGCCACTCTAAACAGCACAACATCAGGCATCACACATCATGACCTAATCACTGTGAAAGATACACAAAACACTTTGTCTTGACCCCTTACCTGTTCTTTAGGTGACCATGCGTGTGATTCAGGGTGCCATAGCAGAAATCAAAGCCATCCAGCCATCTGCAACTCAGGCCTTGCTAACGCTCCTGCCTCCAGGGGCGCAACATGCCCTGCCGCAGGTGGAACCAGAGGCGGGACTCGGACAAGGAGCGAGCACTCTCCTGCAGGGCCAGGAAAGGCTGCACCAGGAAGGCAAGGCAGCCCTACACACCCTCAGCTGCACCAGGGCTGCACTAAGGGAGGCCATGGAGAGAGAGCTGCAGGAGCAGAGGGAGCTCAGGGCGCACTGCAGAGCTTTCTTCAGGTCAGTGATATAATAGTACTGGTCAGTACTGGTCCTATTAGCCCTGGAGGTCCTGGGAGAGGTAGATAGATGTTATTCCACTCCCAGCACAGCCATGTAAAGTCTCATGGTGTGTTCATCCGCCTGCCTTTTCTCTTCCTGTCTCAGTTGTTTGTGTTCGTCCCAGCTGACTCTGTCTGAAGATGATCGGCTGCGAATGAAACTGGAGTTTCAGAAGTGTCTGTCTGTGATGGACCTGTGTCTGGTGCTGCCCCACGCCATCTCCAGAACCAAACTCCACACCGCTCTGGCAGCTTGGAGGAAGGAAAGCGAGCAACAGATGGTGAACAAATAATCACACATTACTTCAGTTGTCATGTTGTTAAAACCTGTGTGTGGGGAATTACAACATTTCTAACCTTGGCTACTGCTAGTGGCAGTATATAGGAAGATACAGTCACAGTGGCAGACACCCTGCTACACTCATTTTGGTGTAATATTTACGTCGCCGTCAACAAGAGCTCATATAGCATCCAACCTATTTGATTGAAAGTGCATGTGGAACACTCTGAAATGCTAATCAAATGAATGTGTTTGTCCTTTTGCAAGACATGAGCAAAACCAAATTGTGAAATAAAGCAACTTTTGTTTTCTGCACTTATTACGAACAATGTTTTCAATAAATAAATTATAAGGAAGGGAATACAAAAAGAAGAGAGAGTGATCCAAACCACACATCATTGCATCCGCGTACTATGAGTGTACACCAACATGGCTGTGGGAAAAGAGCGTAAATCCCCCATTCTTAGCATCCACAGGTATTCGTATGTTTTATAGTATGTGCTAAAATGATATACTTTGTGCTAACAGTTAGCACAGCGATGGTCCTTCCTTGTTTAAATCTCCCCATGATGCAATTACAGTTTAAAGCCCACATGTACTAAACTACAGCAGGATATAATGGTGCATTTAATATTTTCTCTAATGCGTAAGAAAGGGAGAATGGCGACCGCCGGTGCAGACCACACTACGATCAGCCTCAATTGTGTAGCCGCTGGATGAGTGCACATTGTTATTTAGAAATAATACAGGGCTGCACAGAGTGGTTTCATTTTAATCACATCATAACAGCATTCTTGGAGTCATTTCCCAACCAACGTATGGATATTTTGTTTTTTGCAGACTTGTGTGCAATCCAAGGGGAAACCCAGCGAGGCCAGACAGAAAGCAGACACATCTGACCTGCTACTTTTCCAGAAAAGACTCGAAGACGGGATCCAACTCTTTGAGAAGGAGAAGGAGACGGAGAGTGGCGTCATGAACAAGGTAAAGCCGTAAAATGACCTTTACCGTAAGTTACTGAAAGGCAAGAAGGGATCAGTGTATGAATTTTCTATCATATCAAATCCTAAGCTCATTCAGTAGCAGAAGCCATCTCCTTGAAGTGAATCTCTAGTGAATCGCTGGTACGAGATGACTGAGATACGTCCATCCTAATGTTGGCAGGTGATGGAGGAGATGCGTAGGGAGAGAGAGGATGATCTGCGCTCTCAGGGCGACAGCCTGGCGATGCAGATGGCTACCATCCACTACCAGAAGGCCGAGAGGAGGACCAAAGTCTTGGAGACTTCCCGAGCAATGCTTGCTCTGCACAGCCTGCTCATTCAGCAGCTCAGAGAGAGAAAGAGCCTGGAGAGACAAGACATGGCACAGAGTATTCACAACCACTGCTTGGTAGGCAAAGCTTTACTCCAAGTTAGCCACCCATGGACATATAATAAGGTTCAAACTAATGTGGTTATTCTCGGGAAAATTCTCATGTCTCCTCTGAGAGTAATACTTTCTCATTAGACCGTGTAGACTTTTATTAGAGTGTAATTCGACTCTTGCCGCAGGGCCTAGAGGAAGCTGAACAACAGCTTCATAAGGAGAGGACAGAGCGATCCAGAGTCGAGTCAAATCCAGCACAGAGAGGGGACTCTGAGGAGGGAAGTGAAGAGGAGAGACTGTTTCAGCTGCAGCAGGATTGCAGGATGACGTCCATCCTCCAGGAGGCCCTCTACAAGAGTGATCAGATCACCGCACTGTTGGCCGAGAGGTGAGCTTGTGTTGTTAGCGTCATCTCAGGAGTAATGAGGAATTTTTGTTTGTTGACACAGGCCGTTGAATTTTACAGCGTTGAAACTCTCTGGTGTTTTCAGGTTTCAGGAAATGACTGGCAGCAACCAAGCCATGGAAGATTTAAAAGAGCAAATGGAGCTCAGGAGACTTTATGCAAACTGTGACCAGGTCTGAATTTATAAATAGACCTTTTTTTCCCTCCAATGTTATATTCTACACAATGTTATATAAATGTCATGGAAAAGTACAGGGACATCTCACTTCTGTGTGTGTGCCAGAGAAAGTAGAGGAAAAAGTGTATTTAAGGTGGCTCCGTGCCCTGCGTTTCATCTCAGGATCTGGAGTTTGCATCTCGGCTGTTGAAGCAGAGTCAGGCGTCTGCTGAGGTTCTCCTGGAGGCCCTGCGTCTCCTCCTCCCCACCCTGCCTGAAAGCGAACTCCTCTCCATCACTGACGCCCTCTGCCCCAAACAGCTCCTCATCTCATCATCTGCAGAGCAGGAGCAATCCGGGTAAGAACCAGGTTCAGCATCTCTCTACCGGCAAAAGATTCTTGTAGTTTTACATTTCTAATTTACACAGTGTTGTGTCCCATTAGGTGAACAAGTTTGACTCATGGGAGGTGATAATTATTGTTAGTATTAATATTTTACTGTATTTTTTCTGTCCAAGTCTTTCTCTGTTGGACGTTTAATGAGCCCTGTGCAGCAGAAGGGTTACCCATCATCATACTAAATCTGTCTGGCTCTTCCAACTTGCAAGCATAGTTTTGAGTCTGGTTGCCAACTAATGTTCAGAAGCCAACAAAACCTTTTGTCATGCACGAGTGTCGTCCATTTTATTTTCCTTTCCCTGCTTGCTTTTTTTTTTTTTTTTTAAAGGGAAAAAAAAGAATTGAACAAATTGAATATAGGGAAAAGCTTTTAGCCCAAAGTACGCAGCCAGAGTCTCAGCGATTCAAGTTCTGTGGTTGAAGAAAGTAGTTTTCTGAGTGAAGTCACTGATTTAATCAAATCTGCGTTTAAACACAGCTGGCTGAAACAAACACATCTCCGAGCATTGTCTGAAATTTAAATACAGTTTGACCACGATTCCACAGGGCTTGTTTTCCCCGAGCCACGATAAACGATTATACTCATCATTTAATTTCCTGATACAATGGAACACTCATGTCTGGCCCCCTGCTGAGTTTGAATCACTCTGCTGATGAATAATGTGTCGTGCATGGGGAAAGGAGCTGTCTGGCCAAAAGACAAGGAAATGAAAATGCTCAGTTTGGAACAGTATGCAAGACATGTGTTTTTCTTTTCTTTTTCAGCTCGTTTCTGCTTTTTTTGTTTGCAGGATAGAGTTTACCCGTTCTTTACAGCAGTTTTAAATCTTACTAACGTGAATTCAAGTCAGTAGTAGAATGTGAAACTCCAAGACGTAATGACTGGATTTTTTTAATATTTAGAGATTGTTAGATTAGATTCTAGATCAAATCACTTCATCTATCGCCAGGCAGTTGTCTGGAAACAGAAACCTTTACCGTGGTACTCGGTGGACCCACTGACACAGGGGTTAGGGGAAGTTTAAGAGCGTTTACTGGAGCGCAAAAGAGAATGGAGGTGGAGTGGAGACAGCGTGTGCCTACCGCAGTAGTTGAGACGACAATCTGGTGAAGAGCCGGTGTTGATATAGAGAGAGAGAGAGACGCGAGGAAAGTAGGCACAAGGGAAAATACTGAGACACGGTTGTGTCCGTGAGAGGAACAGAATGAAATGTAAGAGTTGGCACTTGTACTATCTAAACAACTATATCAAAACACAAAATACATTATCAAAGACAAATACATGTACCTCTTACCTGGCTTGATCAAGCAGCTGTGTTTGAGAGAATGATCCATGTAAGTTGCCATTTATCCCATAAGAACCCAAATCCCCTTTTCCTTAAAGGAAAATGATAGGGGATATAAAACAGACCACATGGAACATATTTCTGAAAGTGTCTGTGACAACTGTGTCACCGTGGGTTCGTTTGACAGATTCAACTTCAGAGGTAGTGTTTATAGCATCTGTTACATATGTAATCAAACGCTGGTAACTTGTGAAATACCCAGAATGCAATGAAATGACATCTATTTACTGATAAAATGTACTTATCCGTTTTGCTTTTATGAATATTGTTATCAACAGTTGAAAGATATTGTACTTGATTTGTTTTTAAAACTACTGAGAACTTCACATAAACAAGACGATGCACATGATTCACTGATTCTGTTCATAATGGAAAGATGCTCGAGCCATGCAACCTGATTTTTAAGCAACGACACTTCTACCTTTTAGTGGCAATCTGAAATATTAATTATCTAAAAGAAAAATAGTCTTGTGTGATCTTGCAGTTGGAATTATCTGTGATTATTAGTCCGTATTCATTAGACATGTCTAACATGATGTACCCTACTAAGAAATCATTTAAATATTTAATCTTTTATCTTAGTGGAAAAGATCACAAAGCTCTCCCTCTACACCAATGAGAAGTCATTACAGCGTATCAGATAGCCAGGCATCCCTGACCATTCTTTAATCAAAGCCGATCATTGTCTGCAGAGATCATATCGCAGCTACCAGCTTCATAATCCTTTGATGACTTTTTGACCAGGTGTGCCGGGGGGTCGAACAGACTTCTTCCTGTCAAACTGAGAGAAGACGTGTTGCATAAAAATATGCCAAATATGCCAAGCTGCACTGTGGAAAGAGAGCGGTGAGTTCAACACATTTCTGTTTTTTGCTACTAGCTGCTGCATAAAGATATATATATTATGCTATAGTCAAGACTAGGCAAGTCCTTTATTGATCTGTAATATGCCTTTAGTCGGTTACATGGGAGGGCCACAGTGACCACATGCATGAGGTAAGCATTTTAACACTCCAGTCCTACTAACAACAGCTCCTCTGTCCTCCAAATCTCACAGACTCCAGGAAAAGAGGCAAGGTTTGATGGAAAAACTGCTCCCCAGATCCCATGTCCTGGCTCCAAGAGATGTTGCACCACTGCTGGTTGAAGAGAAGGAAAAGGAGGGCGGTTTCACTAAAGCACAACGGCCTTTTTATAAAGCTACCGTCACTGCAGACACAGCACGGCAGCAAAATGACACTGCAGAAGAAAGGGCTGTGAACACAGTGAATGAAACATTACACAGCACGGCAGAGGAATACATGATGCCCTCCTGTGCCAGCACTGCTGCCGGAGAGAGGTTGTTTGTGTTCCGGGATCCACCTGAATCATGTGTCAGTGCCGGTGCAAAGAGGAGAAAAAGGAAGAAGAACTTTCTCAATCTGAAGAAAGGCTCAGTGGCTCCAACAAACCTACCTTGAGACTTACAAACATTGTCAAACAAGTTTTTTTTAAAGTTTTTTTTATGATGATGGTACTTTATCATGATAATATTACAATCCAAATCAAACCTATAATTTTTGCTGTGTAGCAAAACATTTTCTGTGCCTTTCTAAATGTATATTGCATGTTGGTCATACTGAGGTAGTTCTCTTGAATGGATGTATTTTAAATGGTGGGGAAAGTCCATTAAAGTTCAGACTTTACTGAAAATGTTGACAATGTGTTTTGACAGACAAAATCCTTTCCTGTAGTATTAGTGTGTACTGCATTAGTATTAAAGAGTATTATTATTCATGTTCAAGACTACAGATATGAGTGTTTGTGGTTTGATGTGAGGATACCTCTAAACTCAAGATGCACAGGGACATTAGAAATGGATCCAAATCCCAAGTTCTTTCATGTGCAACGCTTTCAATTAATTTAGTAAAATCAACAGCGTTATGATCCCATTGATGAACCACACGACTACAAATCAAACTCTTGTTTTGACATGTACAGTGGTTGACCCCCGTCGATAATGAATATGGCTGATATCGATTATTTAAGAAAAGCCACAAAATTGAGCAAAAGTTGCGACACGTTTGGCTGTGTTACCAGCAAGAGAAGCCCAATCGTCCGTGGTGTTTTGGAGCGGACATGAACAGAGTGTCCCAAACGCTGCGCTTTCACGTCATCGCCTCCCCCCACCCTCTCCACTCAAAACTGTTGCCAGTCCTCCTCTTTTACCATTTAAACCCCTGTTGACTGTCCCAGCGGCTGGAAGCGGTCCTGAGCACCACTGTTATCCGACATGAGGTTCACGGGGCTCGCTACTCTCGCGTGTTTCTTCAGCTTCGTGTGGCTGTCGGACTGCGCGCCGCCCACCTGCTACTCCAGAGCGCTCGGCCTGAGCAAAGAAGTCATGATTCTGCTGGACAAAATACACACGTACCATCGCACGGTAAGCGAGTTGACGTTGGTTGCATTGTCACATTGTGCAGACATGCCTGTGTGTGCGTAAACTTGTGTTTTGACTGGCGCTCCGTGTAACGGTCATGTTTGTTGGGTTGCAGAAAACGTGTGCTGATGTTCTACCCACGATCTTCCTTGATGTGCATGTAAGTTTACACCAATGGGATAATGTAATATGTGGATAGAGATGCTGAGAGGAGTTCCCAGGGAAATTGGACATTTTCTAGAATATACTGGGACTATATGGCACTGGGTTTGTGGTGCCCAAAGCGCTAATAAAACAACAACACAGACCTTGTTGCGCGCAGTTTTCATGTAGGAACTAAAACTAGCAGACATCTCTATGGCCAATATCTCCCAAACTATGCAACTCATACCAAAACTTTGATTATTAAATAGCACAACAGGTAAGAGGAAAAATAGTTCCTTTAAAATCCCAATTAGATAAGAGCTGTAGCTTTCATTCTCCCCGTGCTCAGGAAACCAATCAATCAAACCAATGCAAATCAATGTGTACTGTGAGACAAAATCATATCTGATATGAATTCATGACCTGTTATTTGAGTGCTCTAGACTCCAAAAAGTGTAAATACTTTAAAAACTCTTGTGCAAAAACAACTATGTGTGAATAGTTTTAGAGGACATTTTAAAAGAGCCGTTTTATCTTTCTAGAACTCGTGCGTCACAACCAAGCTCCGTGACTTTCTCTACGTGGTGCTGAACCATCCGGACCAGTACTGCAGAGAGCGTCCCAGAATGGTACTGCTGAAACGTAAAATCCAGAACTTGCACACCATCATCACCACAGTCTGTTATCGGGTAAGAGCATCTCAAACACCTGCAGTGGTTTTTGACCTCAACACTGTTGTTTTCAGGATCCAGTTTGTTGACCGCATGTCTTTGCTTCGTTGGCAGGACCTGGTGTTTTTCACAGACGACTGTGAGGCTATTGACACCGGACACATTAGGCCTCACTATGCAGAGGACAGGCTTCAGCTCCTGCAAGAGGAGAGATGAGCAGCGCACAAAGCAGAGGACGGACCCACATCGGTCCGTCACATTCATACAAACACATCAGCAATATGTAGAATGGCAACGTCATGTACACACCACAGCCTGCACTGTATTAGATGCATCACAAACGACACACAGAGCGCCGCTTCATGTTGTACCTAGCTGGCTCTGTGTTAGCTGCAGACTCATGTCAGTGGACATGTGTGGCTACATTCCAGCAAAGGAGTGCAGAACTTTCCACAGGAAATTTGCTGAATGCCAACCATGCCGATGAAAACCTTGGAATAATAAAGCAATAAGAGATGCTTGTGAGCTGGGCTTAACCGCTGCTTACATACCAGGGCTGATCAAAGGTGCATGTGTCATTAAGAGAAATATGTTGCGTTGCCATAACCCTTGGTCTGACAAAGAGGTCTTAAAGGAGCATTATGCAGCATTTTGAAAACATCTGAAGAGCTGAACATGGTGGTGGAAAATGTTATGTAAGAAATAGATGTCCGAAGCATTCCTTTCTCACACTCCGTTGTAGAGTGTGCTCCTTCACAATTGTTTATTTTTCTTACTTCTATTTTAGATCAAAAAAAGTTAGGACCGTGCTGGCGTGTGTGCTGAAGCTGAACAAAATAAATATTTTCTTGGCTCTCAACGAAAAAATGGTTATAAAACGGACCAAGCCCTCACTGTTTTAGACATATTAGACACATGCCTGTTTTTATGTACATAAATTGTGTCTCACAGTATGTAATAAAACGTCTCTGTATGTATCAGCTTTTAATTTCTTTATTCTCTAAAGTAGTTTCCTAAATGTCTGCCAGTTGATTCTGGGAAACAAACTAGTGAGTCAAAACTGGCCCATGTCCAGTCTGAATCAGCATGATGTTCTTTTTTATTTTAACATGTAGGTTATTTTCTCTCTGACTGATGCTCTGGTTTTCACTCAGCATGTTACAATTACTGATGTATTTCATTTTTATTGAGACAATATGAAGTTTTCTCACCACTGGACTAAAAGCACTCTTCCTCTGCAAAGTAAAATAAACGGGTTCCTGTGTTTTGAAAATGTGGTTGAACTGTAAGTGAAGCAATGTGGTTTTTACACAAACCACAGTCCACTCACAAATAATGATGCAGTTTCCATCATTTCTATGTTGGGTTTGGGAACAAGTCGTCCTCTCTGATTTCATTTATGGCCTCTGCTGCCCTCTGCGGGTCAGACTGTCTGATCTGAAACAAGCATTGAACCCCATTAATCCCTTTTTGGATATTTGCATATTCTGTGGAAGCATCTGTCCCATACAGGGATCAGGACCACCAGATACTGATCTAGGCTGAGGCAGGGTTCCCATGCAATGGTCATCCAGTTACTGTTGGAAATACTGCAGGTTTATCCACAGAAGGAGTTTGTCAGTGCCTTCATCTGCCACAAGGTGGTGCTGGTTGTAGTTTCGTATTGCCACATCAGATGAGGATGGTTTTCCATAATTTTATGCTGCTGAACTTAGACTGTATACTCTCTCTCTCCCTGTGTGTGTTTGTTTCAGCGACAGTTATCATTAATAATGTTATTTCTAAATGCAAATTTATGTCAGCGATGCAGCGCTGAAATCTGGTAAAACAGTAAAATCTGCAGCCTTTAAGTTGAAAAGGTACAAACTATTTCCTGCTGTGATGAAAACGAAACATCAATGTTTCAGTCAAAGGACAAAACAAAATGTTACATTAATTCATAAGCAATGACACCTGGATTCACAAAGATTTTTAAACATGTTATAATGCCGCAGAATTTTAATCAACAAACCGTGTGCAAAAATCCACATTATGTTCTTTCATTTAAGGCAAAACAAGAACAAAACCACAGGCGGCTAGGTAATTTAACAATTTAATGCTGTGACACTGCACCAAAAATGCCTAATGCCGCGCAATAAAAAAAAAAACTTAGCCAAAGGGTGAACGTAATCATTCTCTGCCTTGTTGCAGTAAACGACCTTGTAAAGGACGGATCAAAAACCAATTTACAATAGAGCACAGGTGATGTAGTTTGTGATGCAGTTTTGTTTATGGGGGTTTTCAGGCAATTTTCCATCACAATTAGCACTTTTATTGCATCTTAAAAGAAATGTTGCCTCATTAGTCCACATAAGAAATGTTTCCCCCCCCTTAATTTCCAATAGATGATTGGCACACTCTCCACACCATTGTAATTACGCTGCACAGTAAAGTTGGTTAGTATTTAAAACTCTCACATATTTAGACCAAAGCTTGTCCTGCTGTCAACTGTAAACAACTGTTCCATTGACTTGCACACTGAAGTATTCAATGAATGATTACCGGAGGACTTCTGATAGCAGAGGGAGGAGAATACAGTTCATCAAGCTAAATATCAACAAATGTAATCGATCATTGTGAGATTACTCGATCGGTATCTCAGTGGTTAATAACTGCAGCCTAAGGTGTGATAATTACTTATAGGTCAACCAAAAAAACCTCCCAGAGCAAGTCGTCCAATACACCACTGCCCTCCACTGGACACTGTAAGCCATTGAAGTACACTTCATTGATGAGTCAGTGTAAACTAGGCTCTGCCATAGGAAGCAGCAGTCCCATCATTGCGAAATAATTCAAGCTGATGAACAGATTTAGTGTAGCTATAAATGGTATAAGCCATGTGTTTGGTTATTTGATATAGTGTTGAGATATTCGCCCATATCAGCATGTTTTTTTTTCAATATGTCATTTCTATAATATTTCTTTAAATTGTTTACAAACATTATACATCAGGTTTTCTGCAGGAGACGTTATAGGTAATTTTGGTAAAAACAGCAGCGAGAAATTGGTGGTGATGGCTATCTTTGCTGGTAGCTGAACATTGATTAATAACATTCTTGCTGCATTGTTAATAGAGTATACAGCACGTGGCTCTGACGGACTAAGGGCTCGAACCGTATTTTTCTTTACACCGTGAGGACGTGTCTTGCGCTTTCAAGTTGTTCTGCCTATTAATCTATAGTGGGCAATTCATATTTATATATATTTATAATTATATATTTTTTTTACACGTTAACTGAGGACATTTTCTCAAAAAGCAGACAAGTACATTTTAAGAAATGATCTCGTCATGAAGCTACTGAAGGTGAACATTCACATTCTCACAGGGCCCCGCTATTTAGAGGTTTTTCCAATATAGTTTTAATTAATTTCTTTGCCATGAATATTTTAAAATCAATTAGTATTGCTCTGGTTTATTCGCTCACTGTTCACAAATGCCTGAAAAAGCTGAATAAAAGGCCCCGAGCCAAAGTGTAGGCCTACACAAATATCATTATAATATATGTTTATTTAGGCTTGGCGCGTGGATAACAGTTTGAAAATTATTTTATAAGGGTCGATTTTCAGTGTTTCGTGAGGAAATATTTGCAATTTCATACTTAATGAAACGAAAGAGCATCTCTATGTTACTCCGACTCTGAACAGAAGGTGGAGGTGTGGTGTCTGAAAGAAGCACAAAGCTTGTATATGTCATGTATCCTGACTTGAATCTAGTGTAAGGTCAATTTTACCCGCATTTCAACTGGATATAATGGACGTGTTTAGTGTTTTGAACATGTATACATCCTTTTATAAAAGGTTCTACTCATTACCAAGACAACACTGTGTCTAATATTTGTGAATGAAATGATAGTAGCCAACCTGACTAACCTTTGCAACTCGCAGTAACCAGGTCATCATAAATATCAACATAGGCTATGATCTATTTCTGCAAAAGTCAAATTAAATGTGCAGACATGTTATTGCTTATAGGGTCATTGATAAAGCTTCTTTGTGAAAAGCCAAATGACGTTCATATTCTAACAGCAACTTTCTTTCAATAACTCAAGTGTCAAATCATTGTATTCGGGCAATAGTAAAAACAACAAGCTACTTTAAGTGGAATAAAGCTTCATTAATGGTCAAGTTAAATTGTATATTGCTATATGTTGGTTAATTTGGACAGATTATCCAGATTTTTGTCTGGTTAAATATTCTGCAATAAAAGTGTTTCTTAAGACTATTTGTTAAAGAATAAACAGATATAAACCTTTGCTGCACCCTTTCTTTAATCATTTATATTAATTAATCTTAGAATCCTCTACATGTCTTGGAGGAAAAAACGACAAAGGTGAAGGTCCATTAAACACCCACTCAGTCCTGTGCTTTTATAATAATTTATCTCAGCTGTAGGCGACTTCTAATAACCCATTTTCCCTTTTGTTGGGGATCAAGGGGTTTAACTGCAGGGTCAAATAGCGTCCTGTGATCTTTTGGATGATATAAACAAGTGAGTTTTGTTTTCTGCTGGACTCCTGGCAAGATTGAGCGCCGGGGACAAAAGAATGAAAGAGTTGAAAGAATGGACGGATCCCCTTTGGCTCTTTTGTGTCAAGTTTCTCTTCTTTTCAGATAGAGCGTCCATCCGTGTGATTTAAACCTATTGTCAGGGATTTATGTATCAATTCATGTCTCGTGGATATAATGGAGGGTAGATGGTGAGAGGAAAATATAATTAAAAATAAATAAAACAAAATCCACCAACATCCACCACGAATTGAAGTAAACAGATCAGAAAACACCGAGTTGAAATTCATTGTATATAGGCTACAAAAAGTGTGTGTGTGTGTGTGTGTGTGTGTGTGTGTGTGTGTGTGTGTGTGTGTGTGTGTGTGTGTGTGTGTGTGTGTGTATGTATGTATGTATGTATGTGTATTAGAATAAATCAGTTTAGGACAGCAGCTTGTCAGCGCTGAGAGGGAAATCACAGCGCAGAGAGGAGAAGTGTTGCCCGTCCCAGTCCCCCGTTGACATTTTAGGAATGATAAAAGTTCCGCCTTGCCTGGAGCTACAGCCTCGCTGGAGCCGGCCTCCGTCTGCGGCAGATTGCCTTTGCTCATTACAGCAATTATTTTACTGCAATTTAACCCCTGCCTGAATGGCAGAGAACTCAACAGAAAGCCTTTAAAACTGCTTTGGAGTGGTCTGTAATTGTCTCCCTATCGGATCCCTGTTTTGTCATTTAAGTCTTCCTGATGGCAGAAAATGAGAGATCTTCTGAAGGATGAAATATTTGCTTTATGTGCGCAAGTAAGGTAATATGTTTGTACACATGGGCTCTAACGCCCTGTCTTCTCCATAATGGGATGTCACCTGGCTCCTTTTACACCCTAAACACTCCATAATGGCACTCTAGTGGATAGTTTACAAGCAATTTAACCCAGAGAAGCAATCTCCAGTATTTATCGGTGTGTTCTGAAGTACGCACAACTGGTTGCCCCCCCCCCCCCCCACATCCCCCCCCCCTAAATTCTTCTGGCGCCAACAAAATCTAGGTTCGTTGTCTCAAAGCAATAGGCAACAGCTGTAGCATTACGTTCCTCCAAATGATATGTTACCAGTTTAAATGCACGCTGCACACCAGCACTGCATGGGTTTGAACTGGAGAAATGTGGACATTATACTGTCAATGTTGTTATGGCGTGGGTCACAGAAAGCCTTCAGACTCCTCGATGGCATTCCTTAAAGCATGATGTTATATAAATGCTGACCAATTTAGCTATTTTCTATTTTTAACACGGTTTTACAGGCCTGATAATAGTTATCACTTCAGTTTTTGCCCATGACTTTGTCTCAAGATGCTACCTCCAATAAGTTACTCAGAACAGGCCCACACTTCGTCGTAAAAACAGATACAGAATTGTAAAATGCTAAGTATTACCCCAAGTTCTCATTACAAATCAGAAAATATAATTTAAAGGGATAGTTTCTCCTGCTCCTTTGTGAAAAAAATATTTGTAAAATGAAATAGTCTCCAGGCACCATGCAAGTCAAAACGAACAACTGCTTAATGAAAAAGAATAAACAATTTATTGTTAAGTTATGTCACAAATATATTCATAATAAAAATGAGGATATTCTTCAAATATACATTATTTTACAGTACACATATCCCTTTCGAAGGGAATCATTCCAACAACAGACAGTGCTGTTATAAAAACAAATGCGGTGGTTCTCCAAATTCACAAAGAGCATTCATTGACACTGGATTCAGTAACCCACTAGTTACCCATAATGCAAAACATTTTTTGCAGTGCACTGATGCGATGACAGCCCAACATAAGTGTGTTGGTGCAAAATGTGAAGCTGCGAAATAGTTTCTGCCTCACGCAGAAGCTGGTTTCTTAACCTTTTTACCTGACTGTTGAAGGTTAAGGGGAAACTATCTTTGACACACTGAGGCACTCCGCCTGGTCCCATTGACTGTCTATTCGGGTACTAAATTGTTTTCCACCACAGCACCGCAAAAATGTCCACTTCAAAGTCATTAAGTCTCACGATCAGATTATTCTATGAAATAGCATTTCTCTCAATACGTTCTTGATTGGCTTTATAATTTAGTCGACATTTAAGACTCAAGACTAAATGACTAATAAAGTTGGATTATTTCGCAGTGTGTGAACTTACTGGCGAGGTCAAGAGGAGTGGATAAACTTCAAGGTCCTCAGAAGGGGGTCTGTTTGGAGGCTCTGGCCCACCTGTCAAGGTGTGACAGTGAGCTCAGTGCCAGCATGCCTCTTCATTTAGTATTTAGTGTCGCCTCACCTGTCCGAAGGGCCCCCCTCGCTCGGGGCCCTCAGAAAGTAGTCTAAACCCCCTTGTGTCCCACTGCGCGTGCCCCTCGTTCTTCTGTCCCTGTCAAGCAAGGTGGTACATGCTGTATCCGACGTGAGCGGCGTACAGTCCCATGGGGGAAACCGGCAGCGAGTGCCTCTGGAACGGGTGCGACCCATATGACGCGGGGACGTGCGCACCGAGAGGAAAGGAAATCCCGAAAGCTGGAGGCAGCATAGGCTTAGCTGCCATTTTCAGTTTTTCAAGTTCTGCCTCCTGCAGCCGCTTGGCTTTGGCTCTTCTGTTCTGAAACCAGATTTTGACCTGGGTCTCCGTCAAGTTGAGGGAACTGGAGAACTCTGCGCGCTCGGCGATAGAAAGGTACTGCTTCTGGCGGAACTTCCTCTCCAGGGCCAGCAGCTGGGACGTCGTGAAAGGGGTCCGGGGCTTTCTGTTCGTCTTGTGTTTTCGCAGAGGACAGGCAGGAGGACTCAACCTTCCTGTAGGCGAACAAAACACTTTAATTTAAAACACTGGTTTGCAATGCTGTGCCAAATCCAAACAAGACAAATACACTGAATAAAGTGATCATATTATAAAAGCACGTAGACTACTAAGAAATAAATCACATTAAAGTCCAAACTGGAGTATAATATTGCATAGATTTTGTAAGTTTAAATAACTTTTATTTCTGACACCAAACTTACGTGGAGGTGTTGGAGAAAAACGAGGACTCTGTAGCCATGAAGTCCTCTCGTTACTGTCCGGGCTCTCGGGTTTAATCAACACGTCGTCTGGCATGTTCATGATGTCGCCCACTGAAAACGGGGAGCTCATGGATAAAACAGGAACTGAGGTATCCAGACTACCGAAAGAAACCATCCTTACGCCTTTTACCAGCGCATGGGACGTCCCGGGAACGGACGGGGCACCCGGGGATACCGCCTCTCTGCTGGGTTTCCTGTCAGCCATCAGTGCCTCGACGCTGAACGGCAAAATAGCAACTTTGGGCTTCACGGGCTCCTCTGCGGGGCTCAGACTGGTCTGCATCTCGCCTCTGCTGACGAGAACCGAGCGGGGAGGAAGGTCTTCAGTTTTCAAACCAGCGGTCAAAGCTGACATGGCGATCGATGGGGCCATACAGGTCCGACCGGCACGGGTGAGGTGACGAGTTGGCTCTCGTGAGTACAGCAGAGAGGGTTACGCAAAGTTATTGCGGTGCGCCCAAAGGTGACGGTATCCTCATGTTTATGTGACCGAATTGGAGTGCAGGGCTATAATAAGGCAGGCTTGGGGAGAGAGTCAGCCAATCAGGACCGAGATGGGCTGGTCCTGGACAAAAAAAAAATCAGAGTGGGGAAGTTAACAAGTTACTTCTTTTTTTTAAACAAGCAACTTCAAATAAACATAAACACAACAAACTCCATGTTTCATCAAGACTAAATCCAACAAAATGATGTTAGTAGGACTGTATCCTACAACCCCACCAAGTTATTGACATGTTATAATAGCACCTAAAAGGCATGTGCATTATTTATTATTACTCATCATGTGTATTCCATCTTTGATAACTTCTCCGTCCCAAGCATTTTGACCTGCTTTATTCACATCCACCCGATGTGATAATTGGGTTTGGCCATGTGCTAAAACTGCTGAAGAGAGTCTTAAATGTTGCACAACAGTTTACTGCTCCCCCTTTATGTGATGAACCTCTTGCAGCGCGCTGTTTATGGATGGCTGCGGGGCTCTAATCAGATTGAAACACACAGGCCTTCGCAGTCATTTAGGGATAATTATCGGGCTTGGGGGAGGGATCACCAGGATTTTCCCCCTTTGACTACATCCATTAAAGTCAAAAATTATGTGGAGTCGGGGGCAAGGGGGTGGAGGCAGCGTGGAGCCAAGGAGAGATTTAACCCAGGACTGTCATTGATTTACCTTGCTGTACCTTCTCATTATCTGCAGCCAGGGTCTTTTTTATTGCCATTATAGCTTGCAGGGAATATAGCTACCACATGGATCTATATATCTCATATAGCATTGAAAAGTACTGCGTAAAATTTGAGGTCATGTTAAAAAATGTTGCAGCTTAAAATTTGAAATTTACAAATCTTAGAGTAAAGACATGAAAATAGATCACCTTTATTTTGTTTGCTGGCTAGTCAGTTCTTGGGAAAGCGTCTGCGTCGCTAATTGCCAAGCATAAACAATCTGTCACGATTTGTCAGTCACCCTAATGGGCAGACAAGTTATGTTGTTTTTAGGCGCCAGCAGTGCCCGGATCAAAGCGCTCGGCTCGAGGGAAACTATTGAAAAAGTTCAACCCGCACCGAGAGCGCGGCACCGCCTCCTCCTCTACCCGCCCTAGCCCAGGGACACTCGAGCCATTCAGCCTGAAAAATTAGCTTTTTCTCAGCCGATCGCACGCCATTTCCATCCATTCAAATGAGCGCTAGAGTCGGCGTAATAGTAGGCTCCTCTGAAGAAAAAGGTCAGCGCCCACTAGTTACTCTCAGAGAGTTTCTTACTGAAAGGGATTCCTCGGTGCAAGTGTTTCCCAAGATACACATTAGAACCGCAGATCCCCGTCCGAGGAGGCGTTTGTTATTAGGACTTTGTGCGGGAGCATGCGAGGCGTTAAACACAGTGGGGATTGTGAGACCTCAAACCAATCATCCTCATAATCTATCTGTCCCTGTGCCATAACTTCACCAAGGGAAATTTAAAAAACAACAACTCTCCATGGACCACAGGAGTACCACCGACCTCAACCAAAGTCTCATAAAGTTTTAACTTGTTGTAGTGCAATAGTCGTGGTTGAAATGGCTTCCTTCACTTGAACATTGCAATTAGCATTCAAGGTGACACAGGGCTTCTACCTGTTTTGCATGCACGAGCGATAAAGACGACACGATAAGGTAAATCATTCGCTATTCGGTCTTTTAGTGTGGTGATTTTAGGGGAAGTGGAATAAAATAAAAGAAATGGGTCTTTCAATGGTTATTGTTTTAATCACTGGTATTACAAATAATGTTAATTATTAGAAAATATTTATTGAACAAGAGTAAGATCCGGTTGCCACATTGATATTTAAATTGCAGCCACAGGTACCCCCCCCCTGATAGTTGTTTTGCATTTTACAACAGACAACCTGGTTCCAGTTGGTTTCTTGAATCGTAACGCACAAGTCTTAATTTATCATTTCCTTTCGGCAGCACATCCTGTGTGTGCAGGTAAAGCAGGGCCTCCGCGTGCAGCTGCGTTGTGTTTGGAAACACTTAAAGCCTCTAACCTGGAACGAGTGGCACTGCTCCGACAGCTTTGAAGTCACCGGAGTCTCGGGGCTTCTGCGTCCGTCTGAAGTCTCTTCTGCTTGAGGCTCAAGCACTTAACCCGTCCTCCAACACCAACTGGTTGAACGAGTCTGCGTTAACACAAATGGGCACACGTGAGACGCATTAACGCGAACTGTTTGTTAACGCAACAACGCGTATAGCCTGCTAATTTCTCCTGCTGAAGTGTACTTGTACGGAAACTCATAAATCACTTGTTGGTTGGTTATAGGTTATTGCCTGTCTCACATGTTAGACGAGAGTGTTTTCTGATTCGATGATCATAGTCCGAGGACATAATGATACCGAAGTGGACAAATAATAATACTTATTAATGGTGTTTGCTTTCACACGCCACCGTTTTTCTTACTTTTGATCATGCAGCAGATGATTTAAATATGATCTAGCCCTAAAGTTGATTTGAATGAACATTTAGCCAGATTGTGGGCCTCGGTTGTTGCAGTTTATTGGGCTTGTGAACAGAGAGACGGTGGTGCTGGAAAACAATGTTAGTGGCAATTAGCATCCCAAACTGGCCTTTTGAGGAGACTGATGGTCCATGGAGAAGACGATTACCATAACGTTTCATTTAAATCCCGAGGCAGCAAATGAGGGCCGAGCTGAGGTACAAAACAACTGTAAGGCTCATCGGGCCTTTGTGTAACTTTATAAACTACTTTGATTCCCAGTCAGGAGGCAGGGACTCCAGACAAAGACCCATTGTTGCCCCCTCTCAAAGTTGTCTTAACCCCTTTCATGCAAGGTCTGTCTATTTAGACTGTAAAGACATAAAAGGGAGTGTCGACGTCAAAAGGCATTTTCAGGCAACATATTTGCACTTGGTGCAAGTAAATGATTTTCGTCTGGACAATGACGCTCATGTGAGTATATAACTCATATCACATTTTAAATTAATGGTCAAATTTGCTATTTTCAAATATTATTTCAAAAGAGCTATTGTCTGATTAAGTGAAATCCATTTGACTAAATGTGAGATCACTGAAATATCTGGAATAATCAGATCAGCATTTGGGAGATTTTAAGTTCATTTGAAGGCAACTTTAGAGCAACTCGGAGAGATGAGAGAAAACAGCCGGCAGCCCAATCCCAGGTCTCCATAATTATACATAATGTATCTTATTTCAAAGCAATTAGCGCAATCAGGCGGATCAGAGCACTTTGCTGCCAGTTAGTAACAATGCCTCACGGTCATTTAAGCCTCGACATGCAATTCACACTCTGGCTCACGGGTCCTCCGGCTGTCCATTTGGCAGGTGTATGAGTCCAAAAGTCCAAAAGTCATCACCAAGTCAGTTTACGTTTCGTTCATCCCACCACAAAAGCAATGCACCTTTGAATACCTTTTTAGAACGGGTTTAATTAAATACTGCAGCCTACACAGGACATAGCAGAACATTAGGCATTGCATTTTTAATCAGCTTTGCATTGAAAATAAAATAAATGATCATTTGATATTATCGTTAAACATAAACAGTTAAAACATCCTAAATATGTAAAATAAAAGAAGTGTGTGGCATTTTTTAAACGTCTGATAATAAGAACCATACAACCTGGACAGATAAATTAACATAAATAAGTATTGAAATTTAAGCTTTAGAATAAAAACAAACGCATTATCATTATTATTATCAATAATAATAATCTAATACAAAGTCTATATGTAACTCAAATGTTGTAATATACCGGTTATTATAATTTAGTCGAAACTGCTCATAATTAACGTGAAAATAAAAGCTAACAATTCAACATGTATGTAGCTAATGTATGTAGTACCAAATGCATATTTAGTAAAAACATTCAACATGAAATTGTATTCATGTATCAGAGAGAATTTAGAAATAGTTGAATCTAAAGCAGCTCGTGAAGTCCTCCAAAACCTGGTGAACAGCAGGAAAACAGCAGCTCAGAGAAGAAACAGACTCCAAATGTGAAGGCATGCCGTATGACGATGATGAATGCATCTGAAGCTTCGGCGACTGAACGACTGCATGCTGCTTGAATAAAGAGAAGAAGAAGCATAAATAGATGTTTTTTTGCGAACTATTACGTCTGTAAGTCAATCAGATCCACCGCTTAGTGAACTTTATTCCCCATTCATCTCCCTCACCTTTCCCCCGGCTGACAGGCAGAATGAATGTGTCCCACGGTGATGATAAAAACCCTCGTGCGGTTCAGAAAAAAGGCGCTGTCGC